TTATTTATAATATATAAAAATAAATATGTTTTTGAATAATATAAGTATTTGCATCACCTGATATCTCAGTTCATAACTTTTGTAAGTTTGCCATAACTTTAGGGGGAATTGGTTAATTCCACGTCAGTGATGGTCTAGAGTCCATTTGTATGTGGATGGTGGCGGAGAAGACAAAGATGACATGTGTCTAACAGTAAACCATTTATTTTAATGTAAAAACAACTTACATAATACTAAAATACAGTTTGTGTCAAAGACTGGATGGCTAGGTGCGTTGACTGTCGATTTAAAGAGTCGCTTGACTTTTGATGGTGACAGTGATGGTAAAGGTGGGGGCCTGGAGCAGAAACGAGTTAGGAGAGATGGTCGGGCAAATTTCAAGTTTCTTGGTGATGTTGAGATGCGTCAAAGGAGTAGGAGTAATCTCGTGGGTGTGACAGTTCTTTGGGTGTAGATATTTTGAGGAGAACTGCCCTCCGACCTTAAGATTTTTATAGGATTTTCCCTTGAATCTCAATTTTTGATTGGTCCTGTGTCCCTTTTCCCTCACCCCAATTGGTCATTCTCCTGTCTCCAGGTGAAAGCTGAGACCAATTCAGGTCATGGGAAAGGTCCGCACTGGGGGGTCTATGGCACCCTGCATTGACTCAAACTGAGAGGTGTTGATGGAGCTTTGAAGTCTGCACTCATATTTTACTCTGTTATTGTCTTTTCCTGGACATTTTAGAACAAATTATTTACTAGATGTTCTTGTGGTTGCTTGTGGTTTTAGAGCTTAAACGACCTAACAGATGTCCTTTTGGTTATTAACCTCCCTTTTCTCAATTGTCTTAAACTCCAATGCTTGTATATGAGCATCTTGACAAGGCTCCCTCTTTCTCAGTCGACATTCCCTTACATTGTTTAACATTGCGTCACGTTTATTTTGATATATGTCCGGTGTCTGTTTTACATCACTAACACGGTCTCTTGGTCCGATTTGACAATCTAAATTTTCCTTCTTAGGAATTTTATAATTAATTTTGATTTCAACTTGATTTTGGAACCTCACATTTTGTTAACAATCTAGACCAGAGGTCTCAAACTCAGATGCAGCAAAGAGCCAGTCAAATATATGTATATCAGACATGGGCTGTATTCAATATTATTCAGTAAACTAAAACATACTGTAATTAAAAATAGTTCTAACAAAGGCTCCTTTGTTGCTAGGTCTTTACAACATATATCGCCTAAACAGTTAGATGTTTGAAATTTTTTCTGTTTTAATTCCTGCATGATGTTAGAGATAATGATTTTTAGAAAAGAAATTATCAAGGCCTCAGGCCTGATATGAAGTCTTAATGGGCTATATCCAGCCTGCAGGTTGCCAGTTTGCAACCCTTGATCTAGATCATCAGTGAAATCAACAGAAGGGAAATCAATACTTATTTAACTATTAAAAAAATAACATTATTTCCAAAAATTACTTCAAATATATAACTGATCTTATAATGTTGTTTGTGTTATACATTATCATAGAATTCTAATTAGTACAAATATTTATTTATAAATTCAAACTGTATTGTTTTTCTTCAATTAAAATTAGAAATTATGTCTGTCTAACAATGCATATCTTGCTGTTATCAATTTTATTTCACAAGCTTATTTCACTTTATTATAACGGTTACAAAGTGTTATAAGGAGGACTGGTTTTACCATTAAATGAACCTAGGCAATCACTTAGAGGCATCAAGATTCAATGGTGCACTACTCAAGCAAAGAAAAGATAGTTCATTAATTATTATTAATTAATAAAAATTTTAAAAAATATTTATATTGATGATATTTTTATAAATATCCACATGTATGGGTGTTTGTGTGCTTTTGTGAGTATGGAATATGTAGGGGCACCTAAATTGTTTTGCCTAAGGGCATCAGATACTCTTTCACTGGCCCTGATTATTAGCTATTGCTAACAAGATATGTATTGTTAGATTAACTTCAATGATTCATAGTAAAATTTCTTTATTTTTAGAAATAATTAACTATGTTTTTATATAATGGAATGTGGAATAAATGTTTATTTTATGGTAATTAAAAATTGTTCAGTAAAGATAATGTTTTAACTAATAAAACAGAATATTTAAAATTTTTAATTTTAAAATTATATTTTGTGATGAATGAGTTATCTTTTATCCTCATATTCTGTTGGTTACTCTGTGATAATATCTAATAAGCATTAATGCTTTGTTACTTGTTTTATTTCATTTCATGAATAGCATTTTATTTATGATTTAGATCTTCTGTATTTGCTACTCGTGCTACATTACTTAGCACAGAATGTTTAAAAAATAAAGGTTTGTATAGTGAAGCTGCTCTGCATTTTATACGTATGACAAGTGAAGATTCAGATCTACGTAGTGCATTGCTTTTGGAACAAGCTGCTCATTGTTTTCTTAATACAAAGCCACCAATGATTAGAAAATATGCTTTTCATGTTATCTTAGCAGGACATAGATTTAGCAAAGCTGGTCAGAGAAAACATGCTTTACGAGCCTATAAATTGGCAGAACAGGTAGGATTATTACACACTTTATTTGAAATTATGAATAAATGAAATGGAATATTGTATGTAAAATTTATCATTGTTCTTGTACACATAAATTTGAATTTTCATTGTCTTTCAGTCATCTGTGACTGAAAGACAATGAAAATTATAAATAATTATAAATAAATAAAAATTATAAATTATTTATAATTTATTTTGAGTAATATTTACAGTATTACATTATACATTAGTATATACATTAGAAATTGTATGAATCTAAAAATTATATAAGTCAATTTGTGACAAGTTAAAGTTTGTTGGTATTGAAATTTTCACTTGGGCCTAACACCTATACAATTTAGTGTTAAGCTTTCTCCTTCAGCAAGTCAAAGTTTTTCAACAAGAATTCTTAAAATTTTCCCTCTTTTTTCTGTCAACAATGTCAATGAAATACTTGAATAAATCATAATCACTCCAGCCACCTGCTGCTTGCGTTCTTCCATGTTGTTGGTTGTACATGTTAGCAGCTGATGTAAATTCATACAGTACAGTGAGTTTTTGTGAGGTTTGATGTTAGAGAAAATGTCAACTGAAAATTTGAGTTTGAACAAAAAGTGCAGTTAATTAAAGATGTGAAAGAAAAGCCAAATATAATGAAGAAACTTACCAGAGAATTACAATTTCCACCTAATATGTTCATGATTTTGAAAAATAAGGATGCCATTGTTGAAAGATACACAGCAAGCATTATCCCTCAGTGCAAGTGGCTAGAAACTTTTCCAGAAGTTTGAAGCAGCTATTCTGAAATGGTTTCAGTGGTTATGAGGGGGAAAATAAAATTCCAATAAGCAGAACTCTGCTAAGGAAAAAGTTATGAACTTCACAAAAGATTTTCAAGTGGAAAATTTCAGTTCCAGTGCTGGCTGGCTTGAAAATTTCAGTCAGGAACAACATTGTTTTTAGATCTTTTCACAGGAAAGCAAAAGATGTGCATTCCAAGGACTGTGAAAAATGGGAAGAGGAAACCTTACCTGAACTTCTTGCAGATTACAAAGAGTTTAATGTTTTCAACATTGATGAAGTGGAGTTCTTTTTAAAATGTTTCCCAACAAGATTATTGTGCTGGTTATGTATCTAACTCTGTTCAGGGGAAATTTTTGAATTGAAATAACATGACTTGCAGTGCAAACTGAAAGTTTGTATATAGTTAATCTGGTCTTCTTGCTCTTAAGCTTTCCATATCTGGTCTCAACTTTTATCTGTCTAACTCCATTCTCATGATTTAGGACGGACTAACAGGTGGATGATAGTGGGAGTTTATAAGTCTACAATTTTTTCAAATTTCAGCTTAACAAGTATCCTCCAGTAACTGAGTGGATAAAACCACCAAACACTGGTAGTTTGTTGTGGATTTGTGCCTGGCCAATGGATTGGCCATGTGGAGTTTTTCTGGTTTTCTTCACATTAGTAACATCTAAATAGGGATCAGCTTTACATAAAAGTTCTTTCGGGATGCATCCTTCTTGGCAGATTGTTCACATGTTGCATTGATGTAACCAAACACCAAATCAATTTTAATACTTTTTTTTTATAAATGTGATATATGCGAGGACATACTTAACTACCATGAAATCTGGACATCCTTCCCTGTCCCTTCCCTGATTTCATCTCCTTTATTAACTCATAAACCCATTTTCCTAAATTTCTTTCACTGATACTGCTTAAAGATGTTCTACCATTCAGCCAAATGTGCAATGATTTTAAGCCACAAAGTAGAGCTTGAAGTATTTTTCTGTGCCAATATTTATTTTTCCCATTTATCATGATGACATTGCTTTGTTCAAAACTTCCTGTTTTGTAGTCTGTGTAATGTGCACTTTATACACATGTTGAGTCTTACAGTCAAATCTGCATCCACTATTCTTATGTCACAGGTTTCAAAGCTTTCCTTTATTTAGATGTTTTTGCTGAGCTTTTCTTTTTCAACTGGTTTCACCAGATCTTTGTTTTTTTTTATGGGATCACATAAAAGCAATTATTCTCACATTTTTACAAGATTTTTTTTATTTAAACAAGTTTAATATGAAGTCCTTCAGATGTGAAGGTTAGCAACTTTGATCATATGCGGGGTCATCATAACCTATCCAACATGGATAATTTTTCAAATATTAATAGTAGACCAATATTAATTAGTAGTTGTTGATAATCCTCTTTTCCAAGACGAGGTCAACTACTTTTTCTTGAATTTACTTCACCCTCCTTCTGCAACATTCCTTTCTTCCTATTGGACCCAGCAGTATGGTGGCATTTGAGTAGGAAAACTACATAATACAAGGTTACCGGCAAGCACAAAATATGATTTAAGTGGTTTTCGATGGTGCTGAATTCAAATGTTTTGTCCATTTTTCACAAAATTTGATTTATTGGCAGATTACCATTTGATATTTGGCTGCGAATAGTACTGTTTCTTAGAGTTAACATTAGGAAAAATGCTGTCTACTTTATCAATGAAATTGTGCCATTTTGTATCACCCAAGTATTGCGATAAACATGATAATGATAGCCTAAAATAACCAAACTCTTTATATGGTTTTCGTTATAATGTTTCTTATACTATAGTATTTGGTTTTTATAACTACAAAAATTATCTTATGTAAGATTTATCACACCGAGCGACCAATTTAACACATTTTAAAAATTCTTAATTCTTCTACTGTACAGGATTTAAAAATTGTTTTAAATGTGTTAGATTGGTCACTCAGTGTGATAAATCTTACATAAGATAACCTTTGTAGTTATATAAACCAAATACTATAATGTAATATAATAAAAGGCTTAGAAGTACAAAAGAATCTAATAATCTAAATGTTCTTATTTTTTGCCTGGGCAATGCCAGGCTTACCTGCTGCTAATAGTATAAATGTGAAAGTAAACTGCCCATGACCAGGGAGAACCTCACAGGTTGCCAGGTAGGTTTTATAAAATGTAAAGCAGAATTCTTCAAAATGTAGCCCAAATTATTTTAAAGTCATCAAAAAAGTAGTAAGTCATTCAAATGTAGTAGTCTAGAGCCCTACAAATATCTCAATCTGCTACTTGCAGCCCAATCTTGCTATCCCAAAAACCAGCTGTATTTTATAAGAGAAAAAAGGATAGGAAGATGACACCTGAAAATGTGTTACTGTAAAAGCAAAGTCATATTGACTAGTATAGAGTTGTTCTTGGTCTATTGTTCTCTTATAGCACGGAGGCACTTCAATCTAAACAAACGAGTTAACATGTGCATATCACAGTTTGGACAGAATTTTCACTTCAAATTTCAAAGTAGCCATATTTGAACTAACCGAATTCCTTAACGTGTAAATCTCTATATCCCCGGTTGGGACAAAAGTAGTTATGAACTAACTGGGTTTTAATTATCTGAATTTGAATTAATGAGAATTTTTTGTAATACAGTAGAGCGTCGATTATCCAAAAGTCAATTATCCGAAACGTCAATCATCCGAAAGAATTCCAGTCAGCAAATTTAAATTCTTGCTAGTGCTGTGGCGCTGCAATCTTTGGCTATATCTTGGGCTACTCAGATATTTTACGTTTTTGATATTAAATTAACTTCTGAAGTATAATTTTTTATTGTTTTTATATTTTTCAATATATTTATTTTGTTTGTACAAAATAAAAAAATTATTTTTAACGATACAATAGTCTTCGTTAGGCTTAACATTGACAAAAATTCAACGCGAAGCGACACTCAACGGAGAAAAAGTTCAACATTGGATATGTTAAACTATTTTTTCGTGCATAATCGGTTATCCAAAATATCAGTTATCCGAACAACCCCAGTCCCCAATTGATTCGGATAAGCGACGCTCTACTGTAATTATATTTTTTTACTAAACAAAGTATCTAGACTAATTTTATTATTATAATTGAATATTTATTTTCAAAATGCCATTTAAAAAGTTATACAAAATATAAAAGAGCAAAATTTTAGTGTTTTGATAGTGAGATATTTTACTTATATAGTGGCTATAACAAATAAAACATATCTATTTGATTTTTATTGCTTTAGATATATGTATATAATAATAATCTTTTTTTCTGTTTTAGGTATATAAAGAAAAGAATTGGAGATTGGCTGATGATCATATTAATTTCATTATTGGTAGACAATCAGTAAATTTGAAGCAATTAGAAAATGCCTGCACAGCATTTGAAAGTTTACTTAAAGAACATAGTCTTCAATCTGCTACTCAACAAGCTACATTCCTTCGTGAATATCTTTTTGTGTTAAACGTTAGTATTTACTTTTGATATCAAATGGTTTTTACCTTCAAATTCAGAAAAATATTTTAGAAACATTGTTTCAGATTTTAAAAAATTATTCCTGTGATTGTTGTAATATCAATGATGAGATGATTCTTTTTTTTTCCAAAATATATACTGTTGTTTAGTGTTTGACTAATTATTATCCAAAATATTGAATGATAATTAGATTACAACCAATTAGTAATACTTTATAATTAAAATAACATTGGTTATAAAGTATCAACATCATTTATTTGGTTGAATATTTAAAAATATTTATTCATCAAAATGCATCACTGCTTTTTAAATGTGTATAATAATGAAGTTTTGATGACAATACATTAAAACTGATATAATATTTTAAATATATGTATAGCTTAAATTGTACTTATCAAAATAATGAAACTTTTTTATCTATAACTAAAAATATTAAATTAAAAAATATATTGTAAATTCTTATAACTTGTATTTTTGGCATAATCTGGTTCAAATTTCTAACAGTCAGAATCATGATGATTCAATTACCATTTAAATTCTGATTGATGAAAAACTGGATAGTTTGAGATGCTGAAAGACTTTAACTTTTCAGTTAAATTTATTAAACTATTCATTATTATTTATGAAAAATTCTTATAAGAGAGCCTTATTGTGTAATTTACTGTTAATATATTGTGTATAATATAGGTATCCCTCATGTAACATGGCACTTACACAACACAGTTTTGCTCTAACATGATTCAATAATTGGGAAAATCCCTTGTACGAGATGGTTTTCGGTTTTGCTCTAACACTGTTAGAGAATTTGGGAAATCCTTCATACAAAATTTCACAACTTTTAAGTGCAAACTCCATTATTCAATATTTTTTTTTTGTTCAAGTAATCATGCATGTTGTCTCAAATTTGCCCATGGATTTTAGAATGTTGTAAACTTTTTTGTGCCTTTCATTAGGTTCACTTTGATGAAAACTGATTGTGCCATTTTTTTCCTTGTCTTAGTTTTCCTATCAATCAGGTGTTGTTGTTTTCAGACTTTAGTCTTGAAGACTGTCACCATGTTATAGATTAATCTTTGTATTTAGTAAAATTTATTTAAACATTTTTAGGTAAGTGTTGTTAAGCTATTTTTTAAACTATAAGTAAGCAATCATTCGTAAAAATGACAAACAAAATACAGCAGTATTTCAGTATTAAAACTGTTTGTAACTTGAACAATTTGGTATTTGAACACAAATTCTGGAAAAAAAAATCACTCAGTACTTGACTGAACAAAACAAACACAACCTGCTAGAACAAATTTTTGATTAATAACATATTTTTATTTTGTCATTCATAAAAGTTTTTGTGATAAAAATAAAAAATATGAAAATGTCACTGATATTTCTGATCAAGATCAACAAATAAGCTCAGAAAATGATGACACTTTGTAAAAAGAAAAACTTACTCGTTTAACTAAAATTAATATTAATGCATAATACAGTACTTTTAATTGCGATTGTTAATTAATTATTGATTGGAAATAACTTATCAATTGCATTAATAAACATATTTCTCTTAAGTAACAAAAAAGAACAATATACTTGTTTTTTTTGTTACTTAACTTTTTGTTAACTTTTGGAACCTAACCCTATGTTTAGTGTTAGTTCTTTATTTTGTATAGCATGGATTTGCGTAACATGGAACTTTTTAGAAATGTAACTACCATGCTATACAAGGGATACTTGTATAACTAATTTATTAAGTTATATAAAAAACTGATATAATACATATTTCTTAAACTAGTGAATGCATTAAGCTTTATGCTAATTTAAATCACAGTTACTATAACACAGATTGATTATTTTGTAAAAATTTTCATATAGTATATAATTCATTATACAGGGTGGGACAGAAAGAATGGACGTTTTTTTAAAAAATCACATCTGTAATTGTTACTACAAAAGATATTTGTTGGAAGATGTGAGTTCGTATTGAAATAGCATTTTACAGAATCAAGTGTAGAAAACAATATCTCCTATGTGGTGTCTGTTATCAGTGATGTATTTCTGGAGGTGATTTTGGTGACTTTCACGCAAATAGCTTCATTCAGCCAAAGTTTACAACACAAAAACGTGTATGTCAGACATTCAGCGCCACCATCCTGTAAGCCTAGAAGTTTGACAATGGTGTTTGGAATGTCAATGTTCCAAATGCCATTGTCTAACTTCTAGGCTTACAGGAAGGCGGTGCTGAATGTCTGTCATACACATTTTCATGTTGAAAACTTTGACCACAACCTCGCTAATGAATGTCACCAAACCTGGAAATGAGGCAATCAGGGAAGAGACAACGAATAACGTCAATTGATATTCTAACTGTGTGGGCTATTGCCCCATCCTGTTGAAACCACACACATCTGATGGGAATACGTTTCTAATGTACACAAGGATGCGGAAACATATTCCCATCAGATGTGTATGACTGAATGCAAAGGAGATTGTTCAGTCATACACATCTGATAGAACACCAAGTGTTTGCATACAACTGAGGAAACAGTTGTATGCAAACACTCAATGTTCTATCGTCCATGGCTCTATGTCTTCAACTGAAAAGACAATGCTAAGACCTCACTACTTTCATGCTACCTGCCACAAATCTACCACTCTAACTAGTGGTGAGCTCTAGCCATTTCAAAAATGTCCATCCTTTCTGCCCCACCCTGTATATATAGAATTATATTTTTAGAATAATAGATTAGAATAATTTAATAGATTTAATAAGAAAAGTTTTCAAAACAAAATAGACTTTTGAAAAGACAATTTAGTTAAAAAAAATATGTATTCATAAAACATTTTTTAAATAACTTCATAAAATTTTTCTTTTTATTAATAACAATTTAATAAAATTATAAAAAACTTTTTATTATAATTTCATTATAACAATGTTATAATGAAAAAAATATATAATGAATGTTTTTCTATTGAAATTGATAATCTCTAAAAATATTATGCTTTCATAAATAAAAATACCTTTAATTTTCAAATCATTTACACAAAATCTGAAATGGTATCTGATTATATTCATATAATTTTCACTTATAGAATGATTTCAATCAATAAATTATAGCAAATTTTATTGTGTGTTTCTGTGTGTTTATTTTTTTCATCAGTGGCAATATAACAATACTCAAATAAGATATATAAAGAAATTCTCATTATAGAACAAAATGAAATTGAAATAATAATTATAATAATAAACAGAAATTTATAGGCTGAAGAATTATATTTGTATGGCAGTTTTAAACCATTCATAAATTAATTTTTTTTTTTATCAAATAAGCCTGTTCTGCATTTAACATTAGATTAATTTGCTTATAAAATAATTTATATTTCCTTAAAAAAGTTTACTATTATATTTTGGTAATGATTCTGCTATTTTTGATTAAATGAATATTATTTTCCATTAAATTGATGAAATTTAACAATTTATGTATACAGTAGAGCCTCGATTATCCGACCCCTGATTAACCGACACCTCGGTTAACCGATTGTCCTAGTTGGCAAATTTCAAATGTCCGCTAGTGATGTGGCGCTACAATATTTGGCTATGTCTTGGCTACTTTAATATTATTTTTACATGTTTTAGCTGGCAACACTCATTCGACCATGAAAGGGAGGCCAGTATTTAAACGAGGCTTAATTTTCTAATTTTTAACGATACAATAGCGACGATTATTATTTAAAAAAATTTTTGTTAGGCTTCACATCGATGAAAATTCAACGCAAAGTAGGTTAATAGCGATATACTAATAAACTAATATACTAATTACATGGGATATAATAATATACTATGCTAATAATGAATTTTTTCATACTTTTCGGTTATCCGACTTTTCAATTATCCGACCAACCCCAGTCCCCAATTGAGTCAGATAATCGAGGCTCTTCTGTATATATATTATTTATTATTTATATGAAATACTAATTCAATGTTACTGGAATGGAAATAAAACATATATAATTATAGTAGAACTCCAATTATCCAAAGTAATGTGGACCAATACTACTTCTGATAACCAAAAACTCAAGTAAAAAACAAATGAATGCAGTTATTTTGGATTAAAAATTACAAATATAAAAGATTTATATGGTAGCATTTTTAAGCTTTTTTTAAATACCTTAATAAATTTACTCATATATAAGAAGAACAATTTTTACATCATTTATTATATAGCTAATACATATGTACAATTGTTTCAATAAAATGTGTATTGTTGTAGTCACATTTTAACACATTTTAATATAAATGGTCTGTCTCACATTGAAGTTAACAAATAAAATGTAACAGAAGCAAATCATTCTGTAATGTGTATTATCATTTTAAACTTTCTTGTATGAATTACAGTATAAGAAAACTGGTGTATTCACTTACAGGTTTGTCTCAGATAATGTGGAATCTTGATTAATTGGGGTTTTGCTGTTTTGTCTATACTTATCTGAATGTTTTGCAAGTTTAAATTAATTTTCTGACATAGATAAAATTTACAATACATCTATAAGTATATATTTGATAAGTGCTATATTTATTATTTTAGATCTTAATTTTTTAAAAATTATTTAAGACAATATTAATTGCATAATTTAAAATAATTCTAAAATGTTTATAGAAATTCTTGTTGCAGATATTGAATGAGAATAAAGATCAACAGTTACCCTTATTTCCTTTGCCAAAATTTGATTGTCAAAGTATAAAAGTTTTATTTGGACAAATTAATGAAAATGTAGATGGTAAGAAAATATTTGTTTTTAAAAATTATTGTATATAAAATATTATATATATATATATATATATATATATTTTTTTTTTGTTTTTTAGAAATGTCATTTGTTAATGGAAGAAAATTTGACAAAGCAAATTGGAATAATAATACCTGGATATATTTAGCTAATCTGGTTGTTACAGCTGCCCAAGGATTTTTGCCAATTAGTCATCATCCACAACTTCAATGTTTAGCTGAAAATACTGATAATTCTATTAGACCTTTAAGTGTTGTTGGAGGTTGGTCATATCAATTTTAAATGAGATATTAAAATAATTTTATTATATCAATGTTTTTGTAAAAAAAAAAAAAATATAATGATGAACTCAAATTAATTAAAACTAATAGCTTAACAACATGATTAAATGGAAGGACTTATCACATTAGGATGAGACGGAAAAATTTTGTGTATGAAGACAACATCTTTATGTGACTGTACAAGACTAACTGTCAATTATGTTTATTATTGTAAAATGCGACTCACATCAACCATTAACCAGTGTGAATACGATTAACATTTGAATGATGAACGTTTTCATAACTCCTTCTGGGCTCTTCTTCAGGCCTCTCTTTTTAATTGAAAACAGACTGAATTAAAAAGAAGGCTGAAGAAGAAGAGCTCAGAAGGGGTTATGAAAATGTTTATCACTCAAATGTTAATCTTGTATATTCATTCCGGTGTGTTGTGCAGTTAAGTTTATTATTGTATTGTACAAATTTAATTGTGTTTAATTTAGTATTATTTGTTATTGTTAAAATAAGGCCATAAAAGTATCTAATATTTTGTATATGCAGTGCATTCAGATATTTGATACCAGACTGTAATCTTTGATCTAATATAATACTTTAAATATTGATAGTGTTAACTGCTATGTTCTATTCTTTTAATGAGCTGGTGAGGGGTTTTAGCACCCGAAATGCATTTTCATATCAATAAAATTTATATCTGAGTGTCTTGTGCCTCTTTTTCTGACTTGTTCTGATAAGCCCTTCCCAATTTATCTGACTTGTTCTGATAAGTTGATGTGATAAGTCCTTCCCATTTAGCTGTGTTGTTAATCTGTTAGTTTTAATGTAGATTTGGTGGTTAGAAGTGTACTCAATTTACTCAGTTAAATTCATTGAAGTCAAAAACTACTATCAGATCAGTTTATAAGTTCGTGCATATTTTATGACCTTGAGAAAAATCTTGTTTTGCTGTTAAAAATGCCAGTCTAATGTGATACTTTTTACACTGAAGTGTTAAATTGGATCTCATTCATATAATACTGTTCAGAATTGGGAACATTTCAGTTGTTTATTTTCGTTAAAATGGAAGTAACAGATGAATATAAGAGACATGTTTTATACTTTTTATTTTTAAGTGATGAGTTGCTACAAATGCAGCCAAAAAATTAAATACTGTTCATAATCAAACTGTAATTAGTGTAAGGACTGCGCAGAAGTGGTTTGAAAGATTTAGAAATAATGATTTTAGTGTGGAGGATAAGGCTCGTACTGGAAGACCCGTTGACTTTGATGATGATGCTCTCTCTGCACTAGTTGAAGCAGAACCATCTTTAACAGTTGATGAAATTGCGGAACGTTTAAATTCATCCCATGGAACTGTTCATAGACATCTACAACAAATCGGAAAAGTTTCAAAGCTAGGAAAATGGATACCACATGAACTGTCAATAGCTAACTGACAACAACGTCAACTGCTCAACTCAAAAGCTTCAACTGGGAAATTTTACCTCATCCACCATATTTGCCAGATATTGCTCCCAGTGATTATCATCTTTTTCGGGGTTTGCAGAATTTTTTAAAAGGAAAAACTTTTGAGGATGAGAACAATGTAAAAAAGGCTATTTCTGAATATTTTGATTCAAAACCGAAATCATTTTACAAAGACGGGATTAAAAAGCTACCATCAAGATGGCAAGAAATTGTACAAAATAATGGTGAATACATTATAGATTGAAATAAAATTTAGTTAAAATATTTTGTTGCTTTTTTTGTAGATAAAAATGCGCACGAACTTATGGACTGACCTGATAGATATTTTTCAAATTAACTTTATGTTAGTAATTTAAATTTAGCTCAGAGAAAATCTTGCAATTTTTAGTTATCTAATTTATAATTTTAAATTATGATTGTAGTATAAAATCATGTTTTAATTTATCATAAATATATTTTAATTAACAAACAAATGTTTTGTAGTTTTTTTATAAAGTGTCTTGTGTTAAAATCAAATACACTTATCAATAAAATAAATTTGTTTAAATATGACATTATAGAATGATAATTCAAATTTATACAAATATTTAAATTGAAATTATTTTATGTACATTTTTTTATTAAAATTATATTCAATATTAAATTATAAAAAGTTAAATTGTCCTAATGTTAGTATTTCTTTTATTTCTATGGATTTTGTTTACTTTTTTGTTTTAAGTGTTTTATATAATTCTGCTTATTTTGCATTTTTATAAAATGCTTTGTTTAGTATATCTAGGCATCTTGTAATTATGTGTTAATTTGTCTATTTCAGAATTTCTTATGTGCTTTTTAATCTTTAAAGTTCTTTAAGTATATTTACATAAGTTATACAGCATTGATATTAATGTCTTCATTTATTAGTTGGGATTTTATATACTTTCACACTTGCCAACTGCTATGAACTTTTCATAGTTTATATGGAAAGAGCTGTTAAACTAAACAGTTAAAGAAGATATTACTAAAAATACAGACTTTTCAGTTTTTATATGTTCCTCTGTGTTCTTGCTATAACATGGTGGGGAACTCTCATTCGTCTGTTGATATTTAACTTTGCTATAATAAGTGAAACAATGCTTAACAAAAATAGATATTTCTGTATTCTATTGGATTTAAACATCTGACAGGAGAGTTATTGGTTGATACTGTGGCTCAAACTAAGTATATGTCCTTAAACCTGATACATTTACAGAAAGCTTACCTCTAGACCAGTGATTCTCAAACTTTTTCGATCCACCGCCCCCTTTGTTCCATAAAGTTATACCCAATGCCCCCTAACCCATTTTCTCTTGTGTGAGAAAAGGATTGGAAATATTCCTAGGAAAACTTTTCTATGAATCTCACACTTTGTGCCCTTACTGTACATTGTTCTCATCATCTGGAAACCATTAAATGCAATGTTTCCTCTTATCAGCCCCAATTTTGCCTTTGGTCACTGTTCAGTACCCTGCCTCTATCATAGATCTATTCATCACGCCAGAAGGGGGCGTTATTGCTTACTTTGAGAAACGCTGAGCTAAAATAAAAGTCAATGTGTTAGAAATATTCAAGTTGTGACCTTCAATAAAAAATAAAAAATATATAAAATGTGAACATTTTATATATATTCCGTCGAATTTTTATATATAGAATTTGTCTGCCGTCGTCCCTCTATATTTCCTTAACGCCCCCCAATTTTCTTTGAGCCTTCTACTGCCCCCTTGAAAGCCTCCAGCGCCCACAAGGGGGCGTTATCGCCCACTTTGAGAAACGCTGCTCTAGACATAATTACTATGGAGAGAGAATTATAGTGTAATACTTTGAAGCCGGTAGATTGTTAGTTTAAAAACATACAGTAGTACAGTAAAATAGTATAATTACAGTAAATAGAATAGCTATTCAATTATTTTTCATTACCATGTAATGTAAATCTGCATACAACATCAGAATAACGATAAAATAAGACACTCTACAACCGATAATCAGTGTGAAGTAAGGGTAAGCAATAAATAACAAATGTTTTCATAACCCATTCTGGGTTCTTCCTCAGGTTTTCTTAATTCTAAATAAGCTGGATTTTTCAAAATCATTCCAGAATATAAAATTTGAATATAAGTTGAACGTAAGATGAAGAGTGCATAATGCAGAATGCTTGCGCATTAATTTTCTTTATTTGAACTTTTCGATAAGGTTAGGAAATTAGAAAAAGAATTAAGTAGATATGTGAAAAATTAAATAAAATATTGAAAAAAGATGGGAAAGGGACATTGGCACATTTTTTAATGTTTTACTGATAAATAAGTAAAGATTTTTGCACTTTTCAGGCTAATTTCTAAAACTTTATGATATTTATTTAAAAAATAAATAAATATCATAAAGTTTTAGAAATTAGCCTTTTTGTTGATGGGTTAATTTGCTTTAGACCAGGGTTAGCAACCTTTATCCATTTGAGGGTCAGATATATTTGTGAGTGGATGTGGGCCACGTTCATTACAGTTAAATGAATGAGAAATATGTAATTCTTGTTTAAAAATGTTTTGGTTGTCTCTGTGTTGTTTTTTAAAATTGATGTTTCTTTTCCTTTGCTGGAGATTTTATCAGGATTGTCTAATAATAATAATAATTAAATCATAGAAAGAATGATTCAGAAAACAAACCTTTACTATAATAAACATTCTTACTGACAAGCAAATAAACTTTAATGAATGTGATATTTTCTTCAGTACAAATTTTAAAAACAGCTCTGGTCAATTTGATTTAGTCAGTTCTGCTATTTGAGCAGTGACCACCTCCATTCACACTTAATAAATTTCTCTATTCTTACATTATTCCATATTACACATATATATCCAAATAACTATAATATATTACAAATAGTTGCACCAACGTATAATAGATCAGAGTTAAATCGACGATCCCTTAACGTTATAGCATACACTCCCATTCTAGCATACACTCCCTTTATTATACGTTGGTGCAACTATGCAAATTTAATGCAGAGAATTAAAGAACATAAATTACTCAATATATTACAAATATATGAGATAAATGACAAACTCTGAGATAATTTACAAATAAAAGTAACATTCTCATAACTTTAGAAGATTACAAGTTTTGAAACTTAAGTTAATAAATTAAGGTAGTAATAATAAAACTATTAATAAACTTATTTTAATTATTAATGTAATATTTATATGATGAAATTACAACTGACACAAATTAGTGTGAGATTTGATTCTGTTTTTTGCACACAAAAATCTTTAGAGATTAGGTGACAAGCTGGATGATGCCAGATATAAAATGTCATTTAAATGGGAATCAATCATCTGATTCTTAATTTGTTCATGTATTTCATGTTTGAGAAGAGTTGTTTGCACATAGAAGCACTATTGAAACACATCAATGCCATTTTTTGTGACATCATTGACATGAAATTTTAATTTTGTAGATTGTTGCATAACATATTAATAAGTTTTATTTGACCATTTTCTGTTGCAATGCCTATTTCCACATCAGAATTATGAAAAGCCTGAAATCAAATGCTTGCAAACAAATGTCAGCAAAATGGGAGGACAACTCATTTCTCAAATTACATATCACAGTTACAAATATTTTGGCATCTGTTGGCTTGGTTTTCTGGAGTTTAAGGAAATAAACAGTTTGATTTTGTAAGTTAATATTACCATAGTTATAGTTTTATTTTGAAAGTGACAATGTATCCATACATCTCATGAATCACTTTATTTCTTTCCTGAAGTTGCGAATTAGGTTGTTTAAATGTGATATTAAATCTGTTAGAAATGTTAGACTAGAAAGCCATTTGGAATAATTGCAAAATTTTGAAGCATCTACATTTTTACTTTTAAGAAAATTAGCTATTACTTTCCTCAGTCTGTATACTTTCTTTTTAATACATGCCTCAACTAAGCCAGAGAATGTCAGAATATAGTAGATCACCATATAGAGATTCTGCTTCTAACAAAAGTTGTTGAATCTCATAGTGTTTCATTCATGATTGGGACAAACAGAGTTAATCTGATTGTGTTTCTTGGATTTCTTGTTTAATTCTGAAACCTTCCTCGTGACTTTGAAGCAGCGCTATGACACCTTTCTTTTCTTTAATCATGCTCAGCATTCCATTAATTGTTACTCACTAGCTTTGATACAGCTAGTTTCACATTTGTGTGTATTTGAATAATACTTCAAGAATGTCTGCATCTATGGTAGTATTCTTCACTGGTATCAACCAACTTTTGAATGATGTTGAAGTTTTTTAATCCATGTATATACACTGTAAGCTAAGTGATGTTTTTATTATCTGTACTGTTATTGAGAGCTATTGAAAATAAGTGAAAATTTTGGCAGTAATTCTTTAAAGAATTTTTCAAATTTGTTGATACATGTACTCATCTTACAACTGTTCTTGTAGAGATGCTGACATTTGAATTCTTTTTTTCCCAGAACATTGATTATCTACAAGTTCTGTTGTTCACTTTATCACAAAATTTTTATCAATGAAGAACTTTATATGTTCTATTATTAACCTAATGCTGCTTAACTGGCTCATATATTTCTTTCAGATTCTGTGCCTTTTTTTGGAATATCAAACATTGCTTCTTTTAACACAGTTTAAGTTTATGAATTTATCTTTCCTTGCTTGTCCATTCAATTCATCGTATATCTGATGATTTGTCTGATAGTGTTTCAAATTGGCAATTTGCAATGCATAGAAATATATTGCTCCTTTTTAGATATTACTGTTTATATCAAATTAAGTCTGAGTTTTGATAATTGTTTATAAGATATTCAAATCATGGACAGATTTTTTTTTGACTTATGGGGATAAAGATTATGAAACTCACAAAGGCAGAAATAATAACCATTGAACTACAGATTAGAAATCCTCCATACCATTAATTTTGACTGTTGTAAAAATAGTAAAAAATGAAAAAGCTATAAAAAAATTTATGAATGATTACACAAAATTACTGTTCTGTTTGAATTTATTTTCTAGAATGGGTTTTACACACTGTACTCTTTGTAAGTTAACAACAATGTAATTTGCAAAGAAGCTTTATTTTAATGTTACAATTAAAAATGTGGAGATATATATTCCTGTTTTTTTTCCACCAAATAATAATAATTTTAAAAGTATGAGGCTCTATATTGTAGCCTTGCAGCATGCAACTAATCTGTAGATTCCTTAGCTTATGCATAAACCTAACTGACTATAGCTGTTTGGGCTTGATGGCAAAAAAATTCTTGTAAAGAAGAGGAAAAAACTGTAGTACTACAACCAAATGTCTTATTGTGTAATGCTTAATCTTTTTTCATTTAAAATAATAATAGTTGCTTCATCTATTGAAAATTGTTTTTGGATATTGTTTTGTATCTGATTTTATATTAATTTTTTTATTTGATACTTTTGTAATCTATACATTATGAATCTAATTTTAAATTGATTGCTACTCATGATATGCATTATACTATTTCTCCAATGTCTGAGTTTTAATGTGGAATTATAAAAAGCTTTAATAATTATCTCATTAAAGAAAGGCAAAAAATTTTTCATCTATTTTTTTTATTTTCACTTCAAATATCAGTTTTAGTATTAATGTATTGTATAAGTAAAATTTATATTTGTAATAAATGTTTGAAATTTGTTATATTTGCAGAAATAATAACCATTGAACTACAGATTAGAAATCCTCTTGCCATACCATTAGTTTTGACTAATGTTTTCCTGTTATGGACTTTTATACCAAAAGACAGTAGTCAGGAAAGTACACACTTGACAAATGAAACTTCATCATTCAAGGTTAGTTTTAAACAATAATTATACTGTATTTTGTGTTACTCTTAGTGACATTTATATATTGACTTTTTATTAGAAATTAAAAAGAAAATAATTATATTTGTTTCTTTAATTTTTTCAATAGCTATTTTTTTTATCTATAAAGATATTTAAGCAATGAATAAGTTTTCTTAATTCATATTAAATACATTTGTCTTAAATAAATTTTCAAAGTAGATTCTATTAATTTTGGTTTATTTATTTTGCAAGACTTGTCTATTTAAAATGATTATTGATATTTTTATTGTGTATTAATGATGTTTGATAATGTTTGTAGTTGACTAATATAGTTAATCTTCAAGAGATACTCTTGAAGATTAACAAGCACATGGGAGTAAAAAAAAAACTGCACAACTCAAGAACCATGTACCATGGCAATAGGTCTATAATTATTTGGAGAAGATTTGTTACTTTTTTTATATATCATTGTTAAAATAACTGTATTCCAAGAGTTGGGAAAAGATGTTTTGTACAGTACATAACATTAAAGAGATGAAGTAATTTTAATCTAGAGCTGTTAGACATTGATTTTAAGAATTTTGTAGGAATATTGTCATGACCTGGAATTGAGTGGCTTTTGGTTTTTTGAATTGCATCATTTAATTCATCAATTATGAAGTTGCATCCAGATATTTGTCGTAGTCTTTTGTATTATATGTTATTGAAGTGTTTAAATAGATTCTTGGGTAACATTGAAAGAAGTTTTTCCAGGTGTCGAAGTCAATAATTGGAGAGATTTTATTTATACCAGGTTTGGGTCGGTATCTTCTAACAGTAGACCAAAATAATTTATTATCATTGTTATGTTGAATTAAATTTAATTCAAGCTTTCTAAAGTAATTTTTCTTTTTTGTCTTAATTAAGTTATTATACATTAGTTTAGCTTCTTTGTAGTTGTTGAAATTGATGCCATTAGAATTTATTCTGAATGTTTTTAGTTTTGTTTGTTTTTCTCTTTTCATTTTGTAGCAGTCATAATCAAACCATCCCTGTCCCAATTCATTATGAAGTTTCTTTTTGTCATTATTCATGAATATATAATTGTTCATTATAGTTATCATTAAGTTGTATATTTCTTCAAGCCATCATTATCAGAATGTTAATTAATTGCGCAGGTATTGACGGTAAGTCACTGTGTCTTACCATTAATACCTGCACAATTAATAAAAATCATGACGTCTTTACTTTCAATTTTAGTCCACAGAGTACTGTTGCTTTCTGTAATTTTCGGGATATTGTCAAAACGATTTCCAAATTCATTAACATACAGTATCTATTTAATTTGTATTGTATTCTTTGTTTTTTATTTGAGGTGTTTTCATAATTTTTTTCCAGAAAAAGTAAAAAAGTCGCTTTTGTGGGAAGATAATCAGAAATATCAAAGTCAATAATGATAAAATCCAGGCAACAATCCAATAATAATTCTGAACATATTGTATAGTCAATAGTTGATTTTCCATTATGGGTTAGGCAAGAATATTCTGCAGGGATATCGTTTTTAAGTCGGCCATTAATTATATATATTTTGAGGTTTATTATTACATCAATTAATTTTTGACCGAGGCTATTTAGATGCTTATCCTTCGAATGACAGTTATTCTGTATTAGAAAATTATTACCACTATATTTGGAATCCATTTTATCTGCAATTTTTGCATTGAAGTCACCCACTATTATGAAGTAAGGAGTCATATATTGCCAGAGCTCTGTTTGTTTGGAAATTTCGTTCAATGTTGATATGTCATTGGGTGGGATATAAGTAAGCATTAAAGTTATTAAGTTATTCATAGTATTAACAAGAATAGGTTTGATGATTTGAATGAGGAGCAGAATGAAATTATTAAATTTTTTTGTTTGTAAAATTTTGCAAAGACCTTTTTTCATTAGTAAGCAAAGGCCTCCACTTGGATGGCCTGGTCCTATTAGTTTTTTTGCCAAAGATGACTCTAATGTAAATTTTTCAAAGAAGTTTGATTTATAGATTGATTCTGAAGTTATCTAGGTTTCAGTAATTGCAATAATATCCGGATCATGCTTGGATATAAAGGCGTTTAGTTGAGGTATTTTATATTTGAGTCCTTGGCTATTCCAATTTATAATTGTAAGGCAGGGGTGTCCAACCCGCGGCCCGCGGGCCGCATGCGGCCCAAGGCAAGTTCCAATGCGGCCCAATAAACGTGTAACACAAATGTTTTAATTTTTTATTATTTATTTATTTCAACGGCATAAACTCAAAAAAAATTTCACAAAGCCGTAAACCTTTATTCATATTTTATTTTTGAGTGGAAAGAAAATATTTTCAAATACTGTACTTGGAGATGTGTGAATGCGGAAGGATTACTAAATAAAGCTGGAGTTGTGACTCAAAGGATTATAGACCCAAATTTGGGAAAAGGAGGGAAAGATGAGAAAAAACAAAAGATGTAGTAGTGAGAAAGGTTAAATAGATCTTCTGTTGACCCTTAATTTTCCAACCTTTCTCACTTTTTTATCTTTTGTCCTTTCTCTCCTTTCCCTGCACTTGGGTCTATAATCCTTTGATTCACAACTCCAGTATTATTTACTATTTTTTCCAACGTTGCAAGATTTGGCTACATTGCGCCAAATGTGGCTACTTTTTTTTGTTTGATGTAAAAAATATCATTTGGCGCTTTGGCTACTTTTTGGGCTACCTATTATTTATATTAGTTGAATAAAAATGCACTTTAAAATGGTGTTTCGTTGCTTTTTATTAATTAGAGACCCAAATAAAACAAATATTTGTGTTTTTGAAATAAATTTTAATTCGTCTCTTTTATAATAAATGAATTTATCTATTTCTAAGTAAAATTGAAGGTGTCTGTAGAAGTAATTTTTTAAAATATCCTTTTTCTTGATAAAGTTTTAATACTTATTATTATAATCTAGACATTTTAATTTTTAAATATACTTGTATATTGGGCCACAAGTATATATTATATATACTTGTGGCCCAAAACTCCTTGACTTCTTCCAATGCGGCCCAGAGAAACAAAAAGGTTGGACACCCCTGTTGTAAGGCATTGATTATTAGAGTAGAATTTGCGGAATTGAGTTTTATCTTTCTTGTTAGTCTGTCATTTGGTTGAGTTCATTATTCTTGATGGATGGGAGAAAAGTATCCACGTGTACCAATTTCCCCATGCTTAAACTATAAATTAGCTTTTCTCGGTCAATTATTAGAATATCATTTCTTAATTTAACCTGGGTGTTTTGTTTTCATAGTTCATAAAAGTTTGGCTGTAGATATTTCCGTCTGATTCTTGAGTTGTTAGTTAAATCTGGAGAAATCTGTAGATTTTGCCATTCTTCTCAGTAGGTTCTGTTGTTTCCTATGTATAAATGCTGAGAAAATAAGATCTCTAGTTTGGTTATTAATAAAAATGATTTTTATTTTTAGATTTGGCATTTTCGATAATTGAATTGTTTCTAGTATATCATCTTGAATTATATTTTGTAAATTTAATGTATTAGTGATAAAGTTTAGTATTTCTGCTTTTAAGGTGGTTTTATGATTTGGATAATTAGATGTAATTATGTTATTGTAGCCATGTTCATTTGTTAGCAAGTCCATTTTAAATTGTATAGATTCTTTGTCCATTTGTAATTTCTCTACCTGTTGTTTCAAGCTATTAATCTGCTTTTCCATTTTTTTTTTGTTTTCTTTTGTTTTTCGAATGTTTTCGTGAATTATATCAAGTTCCTGTTTGATAATAACCATTTGATTAAAGAGTTTGTTGTTAGTTGTATTAATCAAGTCCGAAATTTGGCCCTAAAGCACTGAAGTAACTGTGTCTGAGCAAAAGTCCTATTATTCAAAATTTGGTCAGAAATGGTTGACTCACCTGGAGTGTCATTTGCACTATTCTGCGATGAATTTAGGCCGTAATTCACATCATTGGTGTATTCTTCATGAAGGTTTTTTCAGAGCAAAAATTAAAGTCCATTATTGTCCTAGAATTTGATGAAGATGACTGGTTCTTCTGTGTTTCCAGTTTGGCACAATTTAATGGAGGTCTTCCTCGTTTGGGTGGCAAACATTGCATAATTATTTCTATTGTTATTGCCACTGTAAGTTATATTAATTAGAGAAGTTGAGGTAGACGTTTTAAACGTGTAAACGTGTAGGTCTGACGTTCGGCGCCGCTTTCCCGTAAGCCTAAAAGTTTGACAATGGTGTTTGGATAGTTGGTGGAATCACGCTCGACATTCCAAACACCATTGTCAAACTTCTAGGCTTATGGGAAAGCGGCACCGAACGTCCGTCCTACACATTTACACGTTTAAAACGTCTGCCTCAACCTCTCTATTAATAACAATTTTAGGCTTTTTAGTAATGGTAAAAGTTAAAAAAAACGATTAATCTTTATACTTGGTGCAAAAAACCAGGTGCACAGGAAAATACGCCAGCAGCCTCGACAGATGAACAACGCCCCCTTTACTATTGTAATATATAGATATATATTAAATAATATACAGTGGTATCTTATACTTTAAATCTAATTCATTTCAGGAGGGGAGGCCATATGAACTCTAAATTGTTCAAAGTCTGAATCAATTTCCCTCATTAGAAATAATGGAAGGTTGATTAATCCATTCCTAGATCCTAAACAATACTCGTTTCAATAAACATAAATAGAAAATACACATAATTTAAGGTAAAAATAACAATTAAATATCTTAAATAATTGAATGAACACAAGTCAGAATGTGTTTTTGTCTGTGATTGAAGTTCAAAGAAACCACTTGACCATTAAACATGATTTTTCACAAATATGTACAACTCGGCAATGCTGATGTCTTGACAAAGCCAGAATTTTTAAGTTCAATGTATGGTCTGAGATATACCACTCACCAAATAAACCATCACCAGTTTATAACAAAACAGAAAAATTCTTACTATGAATGTTTTCATCTAGACAAAAACGTTCGTAATAATAATTTTTCTGTTTTGTTATGAACTGGTGATGATTTCTTTGGTGAGTGGTATATTAACAATTACCCAGTTTTTAAAATATATTGGTCTGAAATATTTCAGGTTAAATTTCTCCATGTGAAGCATATGGGTGGGCTGGCTGCTGGCTATACATATGGATGTTTTAAACATTTCCTGATGTTTCTGTTGGCTATAACAATAAATATGCATGTATCCCTTGTACATGAAGGTTTTAATCTGCTTTAGACAGAACATTAGAAGCATATCACCATATCTCTGTTTGTGTCAAGCCAAAACAGAAAAATCTACACCACAAAGCTCAGTTTCCTTTTCATATAAAATATTTAAATTAAAACATGAAAGCAGTAAATAAAATACATAAATAGTGTACATAAAATGAAAATTGCATTTACTGTACATTAGTGAGTAATGGTGATGTCTCATTTCTTAAAGTCACTATGCAGTTTACTTAGTTTTCTTACAAATAATTATTTTGGAGATGATACCACTGTGAACAGGAAGGTAGTTTCCCTGAGGGGTCAGGTGGTGTCAGGTCTGAAACCACCTGTATTTTTTATTTAGGAATATAGGAAACCTGTTTGATTTTTGAAAACCTTTGTGCATTTTTCAGTGTGCGAGCGAGTGCTGTATGTAGTACCTAAGGCAAGGGATGGAGGAGGGAAAATAAGAGAGGTGGAGAACCTCAGAAGCAATGCACTTAACTAAAAAAATGACTAAAAACAAAACTAGATTTATTTATCTGGATTATATAAAATTACAACTACACATCTCAAGATAAAGCCATATGACACAAGCAAATAATTCTATCTTATAAACTATTTCTGTCTATCTGTGAAAGAGAGAGTTTACATTTGTTTGCAAGCTGATAAATACCTGAATGATTGGCAATGATATCCTGTCTTCAAGATGTGAGTTCTGTCTTTAAGGATGATAATTATTTGATGGTAGACAAGGATTGGAATGGAGATGGTGGCAATCAGGATTTGAACTGGCAAGGAAAACAATGTGAAAATAGACTTGGTGACCAACTAGATCAATGGAACTGGGATCGGGCGAGCTGGATTGGATTGGCAGACTGACTGGACTGGACTAGACTGAAGTTGAGAGACAATTTGTCTGTACTGAAGTAACTAAACTGAATAACTTTTTTGACTTTTTCTTGGCCCTTTTATGAGGTTTAGTCTTCTTCCTGAGTCTGAGGTGTCTCTGAAAAAGCAACGTCAAATGGAAACTCTGTTTTATCCAATCCCAGATTTTCTCTCTACTTCCCTGGATGGATCATCTCTTCAGGAAGAGTTGTTGTTGAAACGGAAGTGTTATCTTTGACAAAATATTGTCATTTCCTCGTCACTTTTCCAAAATTTTTTTGTTTTTGTTAAAATTATTTTTCTTTAAAACTTAAACAGTGATTTTTTTTTCCAAAATCGTAGCCTGGGATCTCACATCACTAGCCAATTATTTCTCATTTATCTATACTAGGAGAAGTTTTTCCATCTCCTTAGTAACAAGCAATGTCCTAGAGATCAAGATTGTCACACATTTAGCCACATTTGCTGCTTTTATTGCTTCATTGTTGTTAAGAATGTGCTTACAATTGACTTTGGCATCTTAAACATGGCTGCCATATCTGCCACATGTGTACCACTTTCATGCTTCATGATAAGTTTCTTTTTCATCTCAGTCATTGATATTATATCTTCCTCTTAAGTTTCATTGCTTCCACACTCTTCTTGGATGCTCTGATTAATAGATTGGGGTTATATATAAAACCAAACACATCAAAAATAAAAACACTGAAAACACACAAACATAATGCAAGAGATTATAGAGTGTGAGAGATGACTTGGGTGCAGAATAGATGGCATTTATGCAATGAGTGCATTTTTTTTCACTGCATGCACTGTTTGAACACAGAAGCATTGTTTAAACTCAAAGCTGAATTTCTCTTGAATTTAGCATTTGAACTCTGGAACATTCTTGTCACAACCTCTAGAGAGTTTGATAAACAGCATACAGTTTCATTGTAAAGCACATATTTCTGTTTGATGGGATTATATGACAGTGAAGTATTTTTACTTTGATGTATTATATTTGACAGATGTGACTTTTTCAACATGACATTTTTTTGTATCTTATAATTTTTCAATGTTTCTGTACATAATACGCATAAATATGTTAAAAATTTCATCTTTTGTTAATGAAAAATGTGTTCAGTTATTTCTTGTAGTATGTATGTATGTATGTATATATACATACATATTACATGTTTGTGTGTGTGTTTATGCATGCTTTTTTTGTTTTATTTGCAAGTTTAAATTATACTACTATTTGTTCAAAATCATTATATTATTAATATTTATTTAGATTTATGTATTTATTTATTTTTTTAATATTTTAGACTTCTGTGTCGGATCCTGTTTTATCTAAAGTACTTCAAGAAGTTAATTTTGATGGTCAAGAAACTAAAACGGTATGATACTATAAAGATTGTTAGATTATTTATTGAAATAAAAAGTTAGTTACAAATGAACAAATTGATTAGTCTCGGTTGTTCTTTCTGCAAATGATATTATTTCTAGAATTTTAGGTCTTATATATCACAATATTATACACATTTACTTAAGAAAGTTATTAATCTACAAAAGATGGCATTTAAGCCCTTTCTAATATAGTAAGAAAGTACTTAAATTCAGACTTTAGAATCAACACTTCAAAAAATGTATAATAAAAAAGATTACACTTGCAAGACAAGTACTATAACTAATAATAACCTAGCACTTTAGCACTTCCAGCAGTTATTTTCTTAATAATACAAACAGTGTAAGTATCATGTTTTTAATGTTCACTTTGGAGACACAGGTTATGCAATTAATTTTATTTCATTTTTAGCAATTTTTCTGCAAGATATATGTCAGTGTGGATTATTTAAAGGAAATTATAGTACTCATAACCACTGATTATGAGACAAAATATTTTTAAATGCAATAATAAACAATGAAAAATTGTTTTGTATTAGGTTTTCAATAAACTTTATAAAGTTTTAGTTAGTTGTAATGCAAATTATTGTCTGTGATTAAAAACTAATTTTAAATTAAGATCAGTTTTCATTTTCATTCTGTACTTTTTACAATAGTAATTCTTAATTAAATATTGTAGCTATGAAATACAATCATAATATTCATTTTTGTGGCAAGTGAAGAGTATGATTTTAGCTTATTTTAAATTACTTATTGAATAATAATTCTGAAATAAATAATTATAAATTTTGTTAAATTTGACTTTTTTGGTATATTAATATAAATATTTATACCTTATTTTAATCATTAGATACATTTATTTATTCAACCATTGATGATTGGAGAGCTACATATCACTGGTGTTTCTTACACTATACAAACTTTGACTTCATCTAATCAGCAAACAACAAATGGAGAAATGTGTGAGATGGAAATAGCAAATCCCAAATTATTCAATAATCCATGTATAAGTATACAAGGTAAACAAAATTTAGAATTAATTGGACGAAGATTAAATAATACAAAAGCAGAAAAAACTGGCAAAGTTTATGGACCAGATTATAGACTTAAACCAATTATAATAGAACACATGCCTAAATTACAGGTAAGAGAAAATTTAAATAATTAAAAATGTTTTTTGTACAATGGTCTATTTTTAGTAATGCAAGAATTTTTATTTTATTTAAATATCTGAATTATTTTTAAATATAAATATAAGTTAATATTTATTTTGATTATGTTTAGTAGAATATAAAAAAAAAAATACAAATTTATCACATTATTTTAAAGTATTTGCTAAGTAATAAAATAAAATTGTTTCTTCAGTATATCTCCAAAACTGGTCTTGTATAAACACACAATGCACAATATAGACAAAAACGTTAGTAAATTTCTCCTTTCATAGTGCTGGTGTTGGTTTTGTGTGTTGTGTGTTTAAAAGTGTTTCTAGAAAATGGGTCTGCAGACCACCAACAAGTATCTTGGAGACCTTCCAGGATCCACAAACCACAGGAAATCATTGTTTTAAGTCATAATCGTTAGCTATCTGATTTAATTATGACTTTAAAAAACGTTTAAATATATGCTTTAAATGAAAGTCTGCATTTTCATTTAAAGTTTATATTTAAAATTATTGTAAAATCAGAATTTCAAATTCACTTTATGTTAAATAAAATAATAATTATTTATTAATTTTAAGGCATTCAAATTAAAAAAATTATTTCATATAATTTAAATAAAATATACTCAGAACTATTATTTTGCAAAATGTTCAAATGCATACTTTTGATGCAGAAGTAGACCTGAATATGACTGGTAAAGATAGTCAAAAATATATGTAATAGTAATAAAATTATTAGTTAAAATATAAATTTAAACAGGGTAGCAAGTGATTGGGAAAACCAGAAATATCAGGAAACTTTGCTTGTAGGGAAAAGTTAGTGAAATTGCAGAATTTTTCCAAAAATCAGGTAAAATATAGAATTTTATAATATCAACATTGTGACAAAGCAAACTGTCTGTCATGATCTCAACTTCAGGCATAGATGGCAATTTGATATGCACTCCAAGACAACAATGCACAGTATGGAAATGTATAACTTACTAACATTGCAATAAAATATAAAAAGTCATCACTCAAAATAACAAATTGTATTTACAGGATATGCGTAGTCCAGCCATTTACTGAATGCTCAAGTGAAGAATCTACCTTGAGGCTTCACCTCATATGGTATCAATAACTAAAACTCATGGTTTTGCTACATAAAGCAAATTTTTCTACGTGGCAATATTTTTATCACTGACAAAGTAAACTAGTAAATGGCAAAACAACAGATAATAAATGATACCTGCTGTGAACTAATAAACACTGGTGATAATGCTGTTTGGCAGTGCTTCTATGAGTAATCAGAATAGGAAATTTTGCCATGCATTATTTTCTGCAATGACATTCAATCTGTGTTACCTGAATGACTCAAGTCCAGGGCTCTGGTAAATGCAGTTGTTTTGATGAACTATGGTTGGAAGTATTCGAAGAGCACAATGGCAAAAATTTATGAGCTGACACTTGGGATTGTTTAATAATTATATATTAATTATTCCATTGGTGGAAAAATGTAAATAAAAAATGATTTTCAGAAAAATTTTGGAAAAAATATTTAATTATTTAAAAAAATGCAGTTAAACACCTTTTATTCAGATTTCTGGAATATCAGATTGGTTTGACTATTGTTTTTAAATATTTACGTGTTTTGTAGAAAAATTAGTCTTTTTTGCTATGTTTGTGAGATTATTGAAACATTATTTATGACCTTAATATGCAGCAGTCTTATGTTTACAAAGATAAAAATACATACTATTTGTATATACTGAGTAATTTTTATGTTTCTATTATGCAATGTTAAAGTTCCTAATGTTTTGAATCCAGTAAAGCTTGTAAGTTCATTTTCAATTATTAAAAAGTAACAAGATTCCACTTTTATTTTAATACCACACTAATTTCAGTTTATCCGGGTTTTCATTAATCCAGATTGGATCCATTCTGTTTCATCTGGATAAACAGTGTTTGACTGCATTTTTCAGGACATATTATGATCATAGAATTTTTTGATAAAAGTATTAATTACAAANAAATAGTTTTTTTTAATGTTGATTTTTATATCATGAAATATTTTATTTTTCTTGTAATTTTAATAAAACATTTAATTTAATTTAAATTTTAAACAGGTTAAATTTAATAATTTTATTCCAACATTCTTTTGTGGTGAAGTAAGACTGATGAATATAGAATTCACAAATATTGGTCATTGTGCATTGAATAGAATACTTATAGCATCTTCAAATCCAGAATTGTTTGTAATTGGAACACCAGGTTATGAATCAAATGGCTGGATGGTATACAAAGAAAATGCTTGCAACGAAAAATTTTCCCCAGTTATGGCTGAATGTCCAAATATTGAAGCAATTTGTGAAATAATCACACTTGATGGAAATTCTTGTGAACTGACACCGAAAGAATCACTTATTGTTCCAATGTGGCTTCGTGGACCAGATGTGCCTGGTGATCATACCATAGATTTTTTGTTTTATTATGAAACAAAAGAGTTTCAAACAAAAATGAAGTGAGTTTCAAAATTTTGTATATTTCAGTAATAATTAATGTTTTTATTTTATCATTATATAACATTAAATATTTTATTTCTTTATGTTCTCAGATATAGATTATTGCAATATTCTTTAAATATCACTGCTCTTCCTTCTTTGAGTTTTAAAACTGAATCTACTTACAACAAGGTTATATTTTACAAGTGATGTCATAAGTTAGCCAGTAATAATAAATAAACAGCAATAAATCATTCTGTCAGAGGTTTGCATCATGAAACAAACAGCATTACCTTCAACATGTTTTATTCAAAGTTTTTGTCTTATAACTTTTATAAATTTCATATTTATTTCCATATTTTATGAATATAGACAAAAGAAGACTACTAGACTACTAATATTTTGTACACTTGTATTATAAATGTCTGATGAATATTTTTTTATTGGGAATATAGTTTTTTGGTCATAGATTTTTTTTAAAGGATCTGTGTCAGTCAGAAATAGATACAATAATATAAATTTTGGTCTTTTCCATTACATAATATGTTGAAGATGCACATCCATTTTCAACATATTACATAATGGAAAAGACCATCCTAACCCCAACAGACAACTGGGCATTTATAGCATCTCTATCAGAGAGACAGATGGCATAAGGAAATGCTGTATGTTGCTCCACCAAATGTCAATAGAGGTTAGGATAAGGGAACATAAATCAGACATACTGCATAATAGGTGTACAAGTGTACAACGGCCCTCTCAACTTATGCAATGGACCCAGATATTATGGCGGACTTCATCAGAGCATGTATTATCCTCACCACTGCCCTCCCAGAACACTTTAAATGGTTGGAGGCGATTGAAATATTTAGGACTGAATGCAGACCCACCTGCATTAATTTTAAAGAGGAGATATCTCTTTCAATGGCGAGGCAGGTCCTACTGGACAATAGCATTTAATTTTACAATTGGACGTAAAGTGGAACATATGCACATGTCGTATCCCAAATCGAATACCTTTCAAATTGTGTTCAAATATTAATGGCCAGCTTGAATGGAATTGAGGGTAGAAGCCTGAAGAAGAGCCCAGAAGGGACTTTGAAAACATTTGCAGTTATCGAACATAAGCACTCTGGTTATTTGGTTAAAGTAAGTTGATCTTGTGTCATAAAAAAGAATTTTTAAAGAATTTTTTAAAAAGAATAAAAAAATTAATAAGAATTTTTGAAAAATCCAAAAAAACAATGCCTCTGGATACAACATGCCTGAGGACATGCATTATCCAATCCCAGGTGCATATTTACAAAAATGTTTATAGTGTTCAGCACTAGCTATAACAACATACTATCCAATTATGGTATCTTTATTACAGTTTTCTGGGCTGTGCTGGGGTGTTATCAATACTACATATGATGTGTTCATTAATACCATACATGATTCTAAATTTTTATTTTTTTTTATGACATTACAGCTGATATCAGGTGGTTGTTATTTATCACATATAACACTATTTGTGTTTGTATTAATACACAATATTAAATTAATAATATATTTAAAAATAATATAATTATTTTTGAGTGTCAGTACTAGTTATTAAAGAAAAGTGAATTAGTTTAAAATTGAAAAAATAATTAAATCTATGTCAGTGAATAGTGGCTAGATTAAAAACTATAAGAAAATTCAGCAGTGGCAAATCTAGTTAGATGCAGGCAGTGCAGTGCACCAGTTGGTTTATAACATCTTTGCAAGGAAGAATAATAATTTTCAAATATTTTGTACAAAAGTATAGAGTATTTGAATTTGTGTTAATAATAAAGAATACAACATAAATATAAGCTCCAAAATTATAAACAAATTTCATAAATAATTTTTTTAAAATAAATTTTTGAGGTTGTTTCAAAAATGATTACATATTAAAAATACTTTGTAGATTACTATAATAAGATAAATAGTTTTTTTTAATGTTGATTTTTATATCATGAAATATTTTATTTTTCTTGTAATTTTAATAAAACATTTAATTTAATTTAAATTTTAAACAGGTTAAATTTAATAATTTTATTCCAACATTCTTTTGTGGTGAAGTAAGACTGATGAATATAGAATTCACAAATATTGGTCATTGTGCATTGAATAGAATACTTATAGCATCTTCAAATCCAGAATTGTTTGTAATTGGAACACCAGGTTATGAATCAAATGGCTGGATGGTATACAAAGAAAATGCTTGCAACGAAAAATTTTCCCCAGTTATGGCTGAATGTCCAAATATTGAAGCAATTTGTGAAATAATCACACTTGATGGAAATTCTTGTGAACTGACACCGAAAGAATCACTTATTGTTCCAATGTGGCTTCGTGGACCAGATGTGCCTGGTGATCATACCATAGATTTTTTGTTTTATTATGAAACAAAAGAGTTTCAAACAAAAATGAAGTGAGTTTCAAAATTTTGTATATTTCAGTAATAATTAATGTTTTTATTTTATCATTATATAACATTAAATATTTTATTTCTTTATGTTCTCAGATATAGATTATTGCAATATTCTTTAAATATCACTGCTCTTCCTTCTTTGAGTTTTAAAACTGAATCTACTTGGAGTTCTTCATTTTCAAATAATTCTCTGACTCAATGTACATCAAGTGCCAATAGTTTTGTTTTATTTCTTGAAGCTCAAAATGTTAGTGAGGTAATTAATATTTTATATAATACATATAGTATAATATTTATGTACTAAATTTTAACACTTGTTTGATGATATTGGATTTGTTTGTTGGCTAGTAAATTATTTAATATTTAAAATAATTTGACACTATATATTTGGCTTATGTGGTTACTGAGCTTATGCTTTGTCTTATGGGGTAATAATGCAATAAATCTTGTGAAAGACAGAACCTTCCTAAGATAGAAACTTGTGAAAACCAGAAAATTGAAGTTATTTTGGCATTATCAAATTTTTCTCACAAAATATCTGTCAAAATATAAGGCAGAATGTATGAGGTGTGAAGAGGTTAAATGGAAAGCTGTATTTGTCATATCTCTATTATTAATTTGTATTAATTAGAACCTATCAAGGATGAACATGCAAACAAATTGTATGAGAAGCCTGACTCAAAAATGCTGTGAATGAAATAAAATTATTGATATTTATTTTGCTTATATGATGATGGATTTTAGGAAATAGTTTAGTTAAAAACAAGACAGATTCAATAAATAAGGTAAGTAGCACTGTTAAAGAAAAATAATATAGCACATAAAGTTCAGACTAATATTGAAAAAGTATACAATAGTTGTCCCTGCTAAGGGACTTTGCATTCACTATATGGTTTTCAGAATGGCATTATCCATATCAAACTGCAAACTGCACCATAATCAAATAGTGGGCTGTTATTTGATTTTAGATAGATGTAAGCGTTACACTTACAAGATAGTGAGATCCATTGCTGGACATATGCACATTGATGCAAAAACTTTGCAAGTGAGTCCAAAAGTTCAAGAAAGTCTGAAAAAACATAAATGATGATTGCATAGACTTTTAAAGCAATGTTTTTTTGCTTTTAAAGCAATGCCTTCAGCTTTCAAAAAATCAAATAGCAGCTTGATGTTTCAGTCTGGTGCAGTTTGATATAGACGGTGCCAATTTGTAAACCATGTAGTGGATGCAAATGCCACCTGACAGGGACAACTATTGGTACAGTGTGCATTATCATTAGTTTTAACTTTGTACACTATATTATTATTTTTTCTTTGACAGCATTACTAATCTTATTTATTGAATCTGCCTTGTAATATCATAATTGACACAAATAGTTTGTACATTGTTTTGAAGATGTAATATACATGATTTAGTCCTAGTGACATGCGAATACACAACTTATGACTATTAAAATTAACAACAACATAATATTGAATACAAAGTGAAATATGTTTAAAACTAATAGACTTTAATAAATAATCTTGAACAAATACAAAATACAGATTTACACATTTTTTGGTCTTATATGTGCCATTTTTCAAATTGAGATATACCTTATGGCTAGAGTGAACATCATTATGAGAGACTTTGTCTATTGGCTGCACTTTGATACAAATTTTTCAGCAGTTAAAGAAAAGAAAAAAAGAAACTTGTTTTATATGATTTTCTGTTTGGTTTCAGCAGAAATTTAGAAGATATTTTTGTTTTGTTTTTGTCCATATTTTCTCTGTATTTTGTGCATGTGGTGTGCTTTGTATTTGACTTAGTCCAATTTTATTTTAAAACAATAGAAAGATTGCTGTGTTTTTTAATGTTTTGACATGTTTAAAAAGAACATACTACAGAAAATGTTGAATATCTCACTGTTAATTGAGACACTCACTTGCCAAATTGACTAACTCCATAAAACAAAAAGTATAAAAATTGANACCATGTGTAGAATTACTATTAATCAAATTCTAAAAGCAATTTTCAGAAATTATTTTTACCTAATTAACACTGTTTATCACCAAAGAAAGTAAAAACTGTAATCAAATGACAAGAGTTAACCAAAACAAATCAAAAGGTTTCAAATTGTTGTTGTAAAATAAAATGAGCTGTTTGATAAAGATTTATTTGTTTGTTTTATGAAATCTGCTTTTCCCCCTGAAGTAATGATTTTATAATAAGTGAAGTGATATTAATAATGCTACATATATATATATTATTATATTAAAGCATAGCTTTAATGTAATGATATATATTAATATATATTAAAGCTATGCTTTAATATATTAAAATATATCATTACATTAAAGCATAGCTTTAATGTAATGATATATAAAATTAGTTACGTGAAAATTGTTAAAAATAATAACGATTATATTAAGAATTTACAAATGGAGTTAATCAATTTGGCCTGTGAATGGTTCAATTATGAATAAAACAAATGCAGAGTGAATTCAAGAGTATTGAGATCAAATTTTTGAAATCAAACCACCTAAGATGTCTAAAAAAGTCTGCAATTAAAGTGAGAAAACATTAATAAGTTTCACTTAAAACATATGAAGTGTGCATAGTCATAATGTTGTAAAAATGATGTAAATATAAGCCGTAATGGCATTGCACGCTTCATATGTGCTTAACACACACACAATACACACTTTTTTTCCTATATACAAGAATGCATGAGTGTCATATTTCCTGTGTATTTTTTTTTCTCTTATTCTGAATTTATTTATTTCAATAAATGTAACAATTACTGTGTGTCTGGATTGAAACTTTGTAAAAGAAAAGATGAAGTATGTTCATATTTTGAAGAAGTGGTTTTTTTTTTTGTTCCAACCTGGTTAAAATGAGAAAACATGCTTAAATCAAAGTTTGTAGAATCCTATGCAATTCCAGTGTCCACAAGTTTTAATGTAATGAGGTATTTTATAATAGAATTTTAAATGATTATTTATTAAAGTATAAGTTTTTCATTTTTATTTAAAATACATTATGCTTGTAGATTGAGGAAGAATGTATCTTATTGTTAATTGAATATTATCAGAGATAGCAATTTTTCATCACTTATATACTTATTATTAAATGTTATATTGTATTTTAAGATAAAAAGTAAATTAAAATTATTATATTAAAAAATAATTTATTATATATATTTGTATAAATAGATTGAAAGAACAGAAATAACAATTTTACAAGTTTCGAGTGTTAGTCAAGATTGGTGCCTATATCCACTTTCTGAAGTTCAAGGACAAGGTAAAAATTATTTTTGGAATGCTCTGTAAGAACAGTGTTTTATTTATAATAACAATAATTATAAAATTAAGTTTTAATACTAATTTTTCTTGTTATTGTTATTATATAATGAATTTATTTACTATTAAATGGGCCACACAATTTCCTAAGATTAACATTAAAGCATTTGCATGCTTTAATGTTAATCTTATGCAAANTATATATATATATATATACTGGCACCAAGCTTGAGTAATGGTAAAAAAGAAGAAAAGGCAATAAAATAAACATACCTGTTAAAACTAAAAATATTGTTTAGTTAGACAAATTAGGACTAAAGCAGTTGCTCAAACTCAATGCCAACCATCAACTGGTAAACAACACTTTTATGAACAGCAAAAGCACTCCCTGATGGCCGAAATAATTCAAAATATCATTTTAACACAGGGATGGCCAACAGTTTTTGCCCTCGGGCTGAATTGGAAAAAAAGCTTTTTCCAAGGCCGAACCAGAGGCTGTCCTAGGAAGATTTTGAGGTGGTGAGAGATCTCATTGTGGTGTCACCCGGTAGAAACTAAATTGTACATAGAGATTACAGATACATTTTTCACATTATCGTGCTTTATCAACATTCTATGCTGTACTTATGAGATTTGTAATGGAGGGTTAACTCTAAATGCACAGTGAGTTGTTGACTCCCCTTTTTAGGCGTCAGAATTTTTCATCGAGCTATTCGGACTTGAGTAGCTAATATTGAAAGATTGATCATGGGCCACATAATTCATTAGACAGGCCGTATGTTGGCCAAGCCTGTTTTAACATATTCATCTAAAAATAAAATAATCAACCATGTGTAGAATTACTATTAATCAAATTCTAAAAGCAATTTTCAGAAATTATTTTTACCTAATTAACACTGTTTATCACCAAAGAAAGTAAAAACTGTAATCAAATGACAAGAGTTAACCAAAACAAATCAAAAGGTTTCAAATTGTTGTTGTAAAATAAAATGAGCTGTTTGATAAAGATTTATTTGTTTGTTTTATGAAATCTGCTTTTCCCCCTGAAGTAATGATTTTATAATAAGTGAAGTGATATTAATAATGCTACATATATATATATTATTATATTTTGATAATATTTAACAAAAATTACTCATACTTTAAATTTGTTTTTATAGGAACAATTTCCATCCGGCCACAAGAATCAATTTTGCTCTCAATGAAAGCTATGCCATTTAATTCCAAATATACAGGTTATTTATTACATTTAATTATTTTTTTTATTGTTAAGTTCTTTAAAATTTTCATTTTCAATAAAATTGTTCTAAAAGTTTTTGTAAATATTTTAATGGATAAGTTTTTATCCCAATTATTCTAGTTACTGGAAAAAATGTGATGGTATTTTCTCAAGTTCCTTTTGGAAGAACAGAAGTAAGTAATTATTTATAAAATGTTAGAAAATTATTGGATTTTTAATTCAACAAGAAATTTACTTTTTTTAATGAAAGTATTAGTAAATAGTAAATTAAAAAAGTTTTCAGTCATTTGTGAAATCTCTCTATTGAAAAAATTAGTCAGAAATATATCTGTTGTGTATTCATTTTTATAAACCAAACTACTACTTAATCATAAACTTTCCAAAAGCTGAAACTGTTTATAATAAATAACAAATATCTTTCATACCTATTCCAGTACACAATTTTTATTAGAGAAAACTAATATTTTCTTTAATAAAAACAATATTTTTCTATAATAATAGAGAAAATAGATGATATGACATGATAGAATAGAATCCTTGATGATATTACCAAAAATGAATGGTAAGTCTTCACTGTTTTGCACAGCTGAAATTGAAAGACAAAATGACAGAAAGCAATGTCTGATTTGACAAAATGGAGTTGGAACACACTGCCCAGAAAACAGTGATCAAACTGAGCAAACTAAAGTGCAAACAGGTCCAGTATCAACTTGATTCCCTTGGATTATCAATTCTTCCTCAATTAAAAAAAATACCTGAAAGTAAGAAGGTTATAAAGGAATGGTTAGAGAACCAAAGTTCCAAATTTCTTTGTAAATGGGATAAATAGTTTGAATGCCACTGCAAGAAGTACATCAAGACCAATGGAGAATATGTTGAATAAATATGTGGTGTGGTAAGTCATTCACGTACATTTGCCTCTGTGTTGGGCTGAGAACTTTTCAACATGCCTGTGTATGTTAGTAAGCATGTTGAGATTATTGAACTAGCATTTGGGAGTAAAATTATTTGTATAAATTTGATAACAATCTGAATTTGAAAACAGATGGTGCACACAGTTTCTGTAGTTGTAAAGAAACTGTGTCGCAATGTTTTCAAATTCCTATTGATTGTTATCAAAATTTTACACAAAATAACTTATTGTGATGAAAGTTACTGCATTCATTTCTAAAATGTAGTGCTATTCCTGAATAACTACAAAATAAATTTTATATATTTACTTGCTAAACATTCAAAATTAGATCTTTCATTTGAAGTGGTTTTTATATATTGTTTATTATTTTATATAACTATTGCCACAAATAATATATTTCTTTCCACTCAGAAATGTACAAAAATATAACCATGTTGGCACTAATTTGTAAGGCACTAATTCTTTACAATTAAGGAAATAAGAAAAACTCAATTTAATAGTGTTAATGTTGTTATCACTTTTTAATAAACTTTGTTTTTGACATATATAAAATGTAATCTTCAGGAACAGTTATTAAAAAATTTCGATTGAACTGAACAATTTTACATTAAAAAAAACCCTCATACACTATGTAAATTACAACTTTACATCAATCTAAAATGAGAGATTTAGTTGTTTTAAATTTATATAGCATATGAAAACTTTTTAATTTGAAATTGTTTTTTCTAATTTTCTCCAAAATTGTTCCTGAAGATGACATTTGTACATTGAAAACATGTTAGAGCTTATGAAAATGTGCTTGTTTGATTAATTATAAGAACATTAATGCCATTAACTGAGCTTGCCTTATTTTGTTACTATAGTAATGTACTGGTCACTGTCATAATTTAGGATTTTACCAAATTTCATCAAGTTTCAAACAAAAAACAAATAATTATCACTAATTCAATAGATCTTAAAGAAATCTCTTACAAGATTTGTTTGGACTGTCTTAAAGGTGAAAAGAAGACACATCTGTTTTTAAATAAGATAGCATAGATAACAAATCTCAATTTCATTAAAATCAATTGCAAGATAAATGAAAGATGAATCACTTAAAATCTCAAAAATAACCAATAAAGAAAAATTAAGAAAGAAACATGTAATAAAAAAAATAAATAAAAGAGAATTTTGCAATGTTTTTCCTCTTTAAGAAATTGAAATTCAAACAGAAATTTTGGAAAAGCAAAAGTAACTCAAGATAAACAGTCAACTTAATGTGAAGATGTAAAAAACACACTTTTTTAATTTTTTTATCAGATGAAAAAATTTGTTAAAAGTTAATTATATTTTATCACTGGGGCAAGTCCAATGTATGCATTTAATAATTGTAGTTTTTCTTTTTTTTTTATTATTGTTTAGATTTCATTAGTTCTAAATATATTTTGACATTCATTAATAAAATGTATTACAAATTTACTCAACATTAAATAAAGGCCCAAAATCCTAAATCTCAACTGAAATTGGGTCCAAACCATACAGTTACAAATAACTTGTACAAAGTTGCATGGATATTGTAGACATGTGGCATAACACACACTATCTGTCAACTAAGTTTTTCTTTTTTAATAGATATATTTTTAAAAATATCAAATTGCTAATTGAATCAGCAAACTAAAAAAATGAGAGCAGAATCTAATTAAATTTCTGTATATATTTTAATTAACAATAAAGATTATTTTATAATTTTATAAAAATTGGAAATGTATGAAATTCTCCTAAAATATCTGCCAATGTAGCCATTGTCATATATCAGAGCAAACATCTAGAAAGGTAGAAAGCGCAATATTTGAGCATAAATACAGCATATTAAAGCAAATAAGTCTCAGAAATATTTAAACAGACTTTTTAAGAAAAAAATTTCAACATACTATGGTTCAGTGATAAGTTATTGGTGTAATACAGTAATTTTCTTTAAAAATTAGCACACCAAGAAGGGGTGTTGTATCTTTGCAAAACTTCACATGCAGATAAGTCTCAAGCAAATATAGAAATGATTAGTTATAGTGTAATGGCTTCTTGCATAATGCCAGAAGAGGATGTTAAAGTGTCATTCCTCTTGGTTTATTAAAAAAGCATGCAAAGGCATCCTGTCTATAGTTTACCTGTTGGGAGGGATGCTGTATTGAGATGCCTTTATGTTGCAACTGAAGACCATATAAACAACTAACTGAGTTTGAGAGGGGAAGGATCATTGGGTTGAGAGAAGCTGGATGGTCGTCTTGCTAAATAGCCTGGCATTTAGACTATTCTGAAAACACTTAGGAGGTGTTGGGACCAGTGGATGAGAGAGAGCTTGTACACATGGTACCCAAGCTCAAGACATCCTCAGCAGACTATTAGCTGAGAGGACTGACTGATCCTCTGACAAGCATGCACACAGCCAACTATATAATTGTCTGCCATCTGGACACAGGTGGCACTATCATTACAGGTCTGTGTCTGTCTGTACCATTTTGAGGCACCTGGGTGAGGAACATTTGGTATCACAAAGCCCATTACATGTGCTGCCATTGACAGCCACCTACCATTGCACCATTTAGAGTGATGTCACTCCCAATGGGAATGGACCACAATGGAATGGAACCAGGTCATCTACAATAATGAATCTATATTCATTTTGGGCACTAACAACTGCTGTGTTCATTTCTGGAGGCCCTGTGGTGAATGCCTCAATCCTGCCTATGCTTTGGTGCAGCACACTACCCACACAGCTGGTATGATGGTCTGAGGTGCCATCACATACAACAACTGGTCACCTCTAGTAGTGATCCAAGGGATCATGACAGCCCATCAGTATGTTAGTGACATCCCGCAGCCATATGTCTTGCATCTCATGGCAGGGCTCCCAAGAGCCATTTTCCAACAGGACAATGCTTGACCACACACAGCAAGGGTGTCACAGGAATGCCTCCACACCTTCCTGACCTGCCTGGTCATCTTATTTGTCACCAATCAAACATATCTGGGATCACCTAGGATGCCAAGTTTGGACAGTGTAGGAGTTTGGCCAAACTAGAGGACCACTTGCAATAACTGTAGACTGAGATGCCACAGTACACCGTATGGCACCTGTATGCCTCCATGCCTGCCCATGTCACATCTAGAGGTTGCCCAACATGGTGCTAGAATTTTCTTTCATTTGTAGTTTTTCCTGCAATAAATGATCCTTTTGCTTTCATTTTGTAAACATTTACTTATATCACCATTACACTCATACATGTACAATTTCATTTGATTCTGACAACTTCTTGGTGCACTAATTTTTCTGTGAATGAGTGTATGATGATTCAAAAATATTTGAATAAAATTCAGAACATATTTCATTGGATATATTAGTAACTTTTTCTTAGATTAATCAATAAAATATCTTTAAATTTTATTTATATTTATTTAAATTTAAAGATTAAATCAAAAAAATTAAATTTTTACTCAGAACAAAAATAAATCATAAATGACGTGAAAGAAATAGATTTATTTTAATTATATTTTGAATAAATAAATATTCTATTTAAATATTGCCAAATACTGTATTTACTCGCATATAAGATGAGGTTTTTATTCATTTTTCTCTGCTTCAAAAACCTAGGTCGTCCTATATGTGTGAGCAAAGGATTCTTTGTGTTTTTGCAAAAATTTTTGTGAACCATGTATTCGCATTTTTTACCAGATGCTCACTTTCTGGCAAAAAGCAAACATATATTATCTGGGTCATTTGAATCGTTCTGTGTATTGTCAGGAGTAAAGATGAATAGCAATAGGAAAAGCAGAGCTTTTGAATTGAATTCCAAATTGAAATTCCAAAATCACACGGGAGCCAGATATAAGTTTTAATCCATTCCCACGTGAAAACAGATGATTATTCAGAAATCAGAATTTGGAGAAACTTGTAAGTGTAATTGACAGAGAGTGGATTTGACTGTTAAGAATTGGCAAAAAAGGTTCCCAATTGTCCAGCTTTACAAGAAAAAATTATGTTGTCGATTTTAAACAATTTTTCCTTAAAGTTTAAGATGCCAGTAATTTTTGCAGGACAATGTGTGCATTTATATTCATTTGATATTTTATTTGTGATTAAACAAAATAAAATTAGAATTGTATTAATAAATCTAATTTTCTTTATTTTGATTTTTAAAGACACACCTTGTCTTATACATGAGTAAATACAGTATATGTAGGGTATACATGTTATGGAATATGAAAGATAATACTTTTGATAAAAATAGAATTAATGTTAATCAATCTCTTTGATACTCAACAATTCTTAGGAATGTATATTAAAGTTTTATAAGATAGATCCAAATAATAAATCTTTCATCTTTTATAATTATAATTTATTAACTTTAATTAGCAAAGATTTCTGTTTGACATAATTCATGACTATAAATTAACTTCACATCAGCTTTCAAAGATTAAATACTTGACACTTCCATGTTGCGTTACAAATAGTGACTTGTTAATTTAAAAAGCACTTTCAATAGCTTATAGCTATCATCCTCAGGCAAAAAATTTAATACAAATTATTTTTGAATTATCAGCTTTTTAACAGACTTTTCAAATTACATAATGCACATAGATTTTGAAATTTTAATTATTTAGAAAATTTAAATTATTTAGAAATTTTAACAAGTCACTATTTGTAACGCCGCAACATGGAAGTGTAAAGTATTTAACGACCGATTTTTACGTAACGCTATAAAACTTGCTCGAGTCACACTCGAGCGCGGCTCAGAAGGGGTTAATCTTGACATAATTCAATTATTTTGATTTCCTAAAACTATTAGTTAATTCATTTTTCTAAAGAAGTTTAAAGATATACATAATTATAGTCATGAAGTTCTTGATTGGAAAACTCATTGCCTTTATAAAGGTTGTTATTGTTCCATTTTAAAGACTTAAATTCCTATTAATATAAATTCATTTGTTACATTGCTAAAATGATATGAAAATTTATATATATATTAGTGATTTCACTTTGGCAAAAGTTATGTACTATCAACATATTCAACACATCATTTAGATGAGAAAATATATGGCAACACACACTAATTTCCAAAACTGTTGTTTTTATCTCATTGAATATTGTGCTATATGACATCATTGTTACATTTAATATTGCTACATGCATAACTGAAGACTATGATCTCAGTTTAGTACTTGAAGCAAATATGTTATCCAAGCACTTAATAAAAATATAACCTGCATGTTATATAATAAAAATATAACCTGCATGTTATATATAGTTATTCTAAATTATTTGTATATGGAGAAGGAAGATTGGCTTAAAGTTTTGAGTACCCATTTGATGTATTATTTAGGTGGTTGTGGGTTTCAATCCTGTTTGCAAGTCAATTTTTCCTTTAAATGTTTTGAAAATTATTAAGTAAAGCTCAAATTTTAATTATTAAAATAAACATAAGATGGCAATTCCACCTATCTAAATATCCCAAATTTCATCAGTTAATTAATTAAAACTCAAAACAATAGCTCATGAAAATCAAACTTTTGATTGATATAGTATTTATTATTTTTTTTTATTTATTAGATATTTTCCAAGACAAATTAAAATAAATAAATGGCTATTAACATGTTAAAATTAATTTTTACCATTAATAACATTATAATTAGCATTACAAATAGTAGAAGAAAAACAGTAACTAACTTAAACACTATATTTTGTGATCATACAGGGTGGGACATATGTCCTGATGGAAAAATACTGTAATTTTTTTAAGTTTGTTAAAAATAGGTTGTGTTTGAGAGTTTGATAGAGAGATACTTGTACACACTGCACATGTGTGCAAAATAAATATGGTATATTAATTAAATTACTCAAAAAGTACAAATGTATGTACCAATTACTCAAAAAGTACATATGCACCACTCCATAATTGATAAGTCTAGATGTTAAGTATTTAGATATTTAAAATACATACATTTAATTAAGAAATAATATTCTGAAGTTATATTTAAATAAATTTTAGGTTGATAGCAGTTCAACACCCTGTAGTGATTTTAGTTGGCGATCACAGTTGAGGCTAAACAATCAAAAGTTAATAAATGATGATGTACTTGACATTAATGTCCAAAATGAAATTATAAGTATGATGAAAGATACAGAAAATTTTGGATTAGTTTTGACTGCTCTATGGAAGGTATGGTTTTAATAGATTTTTTTTCTTATTTTAAATATTTTCACTAGACCTAATTTAAATATTTTCACTAGACCTAATATTTTCACTAGTCCTAATTCAAATCAATTCTACTATTTTCAATAGTAGAATTGATTTGAATTAGGACTTAATGTAATGAGTTTTAAACTAAAATATTCAGTTTGTAGCAATGTCTAGTGAAAATTTTCTTAAAAAAGAACATACATCTTATTTAAGTGTATATTTTTTTATGAACATTTCAGTGTTATTCTATCTGTGATGTCTAATAATTAATTAATTAAAATATATATAATAATCACATATTTAAATGACATCAGTTTGATAATAAATAAGTAAAATCTTAAATATTATTCAAATTATATAATAATAATAATTTGATATACTATATATAAAATTATGTATATGATATAAATTTTTCTACCTATAATTTGATATATGTTAAAATATTTAGTTAAACTGTTTTTAATTCAGTTATAATAATCATAGGCTAAAATGGAGAAAGATAATCAGACTCATGTTGTTGTAGGACAGCACCATATTGTTTTAAACAAAGTTGATTCTTCTGTTTTGACATTACCTGAAGAAAAGGTTTGTATTTGATTTTGATTAAAAGTTAATGTAAAAATTTATTCGTTTTTATAAATTAATTTTATATTAAAATTTACATCAAATTAATTTAAAATTATAAAATAAACTTTTAAAAATGTTTAAATAGTTATGTTCATAATTTATTAATGATAATATCTTTACTTTTAGAGATGATGAAATTTTTCAGATATAACTTAGGATTGATTATTTCCATCTTCTTTTCTTTAGTTATGCTATTTTTTTCTTTCTTTAAGCTTTTAAATTATGTGAAGATAATTAATTGCTGTCATCTCTTTCTACCATATATTATATAAGATGAAATTTTCCTAATTTTGTGACTTCCATAATTATATGATGTGTAGTTAGTGAAGTAATTTAAGATGTTATTATAGAAAAAATTAATGATTATATCACATAATTCCACACACAGCATTTTACATACAATTTTAGTATATTTGACTATAACTTGAATTGAAGGAATAGAGAAGAATTTTTGAGATAATGAAATTTTGGATTACAGAAATTACCATTACTTTAATGAGGTCATAAATATTGCAATACAAATAATACAGTTAGACTTAAATACATTGTATTGTTGTTATTTCTTAGGTTTTTATTTATACAAAATAACAAAATATTTATAGTTTTGGTGAAAGAAGTCTATTGAGTTTGATATCAGTGAGCTATTGCTTCCTACTTAACAATGTTTTAGATGTGCTCAATCACCTTTAAAACATCATCTTTCAGCTTTTAGGAAGCTTCTTTAAAAATTTAAAAAGAATGCTAACTATAAAATTTAATAAGCTAATTTGCATAAAAAATAATTACTTTAGGTTTAAAATGTTATGTTTTTTTATTTTTTGTACTGTGGCTTCAAAGGTACTACATATTAACTAACTTTATATGTTTCTTCGAGTGTACATAAGTAAATGTTTGATTTTATTTTAAGTTCATTTTAATTTTAATTTAACCTCCTTGAAAATTCAAAAAATACATACAGTATCAGATAAGAAATAAATTTATCGGAATCTTAGATATTGAGTTATCAAAATGTGTTCTCATAAACTGTTTGACTTTATAGAAACACAAAATGCATTGAATTTATGGGAGCTAAATAAGAGATGAAAATAAAATTTGACTTAGAGATTTGAGTGAGTAAAATTCAACTTGTTAAGAATAAACTGTAAAAAGTATACAAATTTTATAAGTTGAATTTTTTTTATAAGTAGATTATGATGTAATATTTAGCTTTCAGTTTTTTTCTGGTGTTTTTATTTTGTTTCTATTTCATGTCTATTCTTAAGTATTCCAACTGAAATTGTATATTTACTAATACTTCTCAAATCTCTTTTTCTTACGACTTTTCCAGATGTTATAAAATATCACATAGTGAAAGTATGATGACTGGTCTTTTCCTCCCTTCAATATTTTGACATTTCAAGAGTCCAAATATTGTAAAAAAAAAAAAAAAAAAAGAATCCTTTACAAAATTCTGTATATGCTTGCATTTTGCATTTTCCTATCTGTTAACATTTTTAAGATGCTATTCTTTGGCCTTTTATGACTAATATTAAAATTTGCACATTATTGCATTGTTTCATATTTGTTTTTCCAAGTTTTCCTCATCCTTCTTTTAGTAGCATATTGGACATCATTATCTGAAAGTTAAAATTGTTTTCATTTAGTGTCTTTAGAGAGATTGTTTTTACTTCAGTTTTATAAAATTATTTCTTTTTGTAGAATTTTTAGTATGGTAATCTTTGTCCAAATCTGAAAGTATGTAATGATTCAATGTTCCAGTAATATATTCTCCAAATTAAAGCTTGTACATGGTATTGTTTTGACATCAGCAGGTCATGGTCTGCTGAAAGAATTACATTTTTTAAAAATCTTACATTACATAGTCATGTTGATTTTATTGATATCTATTTCATATATCATGTATAAAGCCTGCAGTTATTTTATATGAAAAAGAGTTTTCTTTTCATAAAATTATATTAGTTTTTCTTCTGAATTGCAATAATTCCTGGAAACTGAAATGCTAAAGATTTTAATAATTAAAAGTTACACTTGTGTGCTGAAACAAAATTACTCTACATTTTATGGAATAAATTTTATAGATTTAATTTAATTATTTTTAAATATTTTTCTTTAAATAATTTACAAATTATTCAAAATTATCTTTCATGATAATATTTGCTATTGCCTAAACTGATATATTAAATTTTATGATTTTATCTAGATTTATGTACTTATTTAATTGTATTTTTCTAAATAATGATTTATAATTTTGTCATTATTTTTTTTAGTCTTTCGAGCAAAATCCTCCAATTTATATAATTCCAGACTTAGAAGAAAATGAAAAAATTCATTTGAATTTAACTGAACAAGCAATTAAATGTACAATAAATCATCCATTTCATGTAAAACATAATTTTTTATATAAAAGGTAAATATATGTTAACTTATTAATTTAATATAGATTTAAAAAATGGGATTGCAAATGAATTTTTTAAGATAGAAGCAAAATTATAAAGAATTTACAAATAGTTATATAAATTCCAGGTAACATTTATCTTGAATTTGTTTAAGTTTATTCTAAAAGTTGTTTAAGTTCTTGAAAAAAAATGAAGTCTGCACGATATCATTTGATCTAAATAAATAATCACTTTAAGATCATTGTTGGAGCTTAAAGAAAACAAGGGAGGGGGAAAAAATACATTTAGTTTTAATAAATACACAAAAAATATAAATACGACTTTTTTACCTTTGTAAAAAAAGTCATATTTATATTTTTTGTGTATTTATTAAATTTAAATAATGCAGGCCATGTTCTTTACTATTTTTTTTAACCTACATTTAGTTTTATTTAATTAAAAGCTTTTTCAGATAAAAGTTTGAACAGAAACAAAAATAACAGAAATGGGACAGAACAATATTTAAATCAAAAACATTTGTTTTAAATAAATATTTTGGAAAAAACAAAACTATATTTGCAATTGTATATAAATAAATTAATTTAATAAAGACACTAACTTAATAAATTATTGATGAACTAGCTTAATAATATGGTAGCATTCTGCTAAATGAATAAAAAATATCATTCACAATAAAGTTGAATGGGTTCATAGAACAATAGCTAAGGAAAAACTCACTAATATAGAAAACTGATGTTTTTCTACATATGGTACTATTTTCATAATTTCTGAATTTACAATAAATTATTTGCTAATTTTATTAAAAACGGTCTAATTTGCTAACTTTATTGTGTGTTTTCCTGAATGCAAATCACATTTATGCACAAGTGAATAGGTTTTTAACTCAAACTGGCCGCACAATAGATAATAAAAAAAGGCATGTTTTTTTTTATTAATGGAATTTTATAAACACTGATAGAGATTTTTTAGTAATCTTTTGACCTATCTAATACTAGAATTCTGTGAGAATGAATGGCAAGGGCTAGTGGCAGAAAAGATTAAATATCATTAGCAGTGAATAGCTTAAACACAGGGTTATGATACTGTAGAAACCTAAACAGAAAATCAGTCACAAAGAATGCTGGACACACTATGGCTTTGGTTAAAGGAATTAAAATATTTTTTAATGGAGTTAGCTGAATTTTTTAGTCATGATATAAAGAAATTTAAAACAATTATAAAGAAAAATAAAAGACCCATACTATTTATGAAAAATAAAGTTATAATTGTATAAATTTTATAAATATACAGAGCTTTTCATTTGTCTTTAAATATTTTTTAAAGGTTACTTAGCATTCCTGTAATACTTGTTGCTCATAACTGTTCTCAAGTAGATGCTTATGTGTTTATTGATTTACAAGAAGTAAGAAGGTAAATAATTAAAAGTATAGTATATATTACAAAATTAAATTTATTATATTTTATTTTTAGTAAAAATTGTAAAAAATGCAAAATAAATATTTGATTATTTATTTATGCTATGTTCTGTTTATTTATTTTGCATTTATATCACATGAAAAAAATGTGATATACAGTAGACCCCCCTATAACTGTTGATAATTCCGTATTATATGAATTCCATGTTGTACAAGTCACTTAGATTTTACAAATACGTGTGCCAGGCTATGAATGGCTCACATATTTGTAAAATCTAAGTGACTCGTACAACATGATAATTCTGTATTATATGAATTCCAACAGTGTTATAGGGGGTCTACTGTATTTGAAAAGTATTTTGTTAAATTAATTTCTGTTGATTTATATCACATTATACTTTACCAGACTATTTGTTTCTTGTGTCAGTTTCACAAAAATTAATGTCTTGAATAAAATTTAAATGCCTTATCATTACCAAATACCATTAAAATATTTTGAAATAAATTTAATAATTGGTTTGAATTCATTTCAAAACATTTTAATGGTATTTGGTAATGATAAAGCATTTAAATTTTATTCAAAACATTAATTTTGATGATGTTGCTTTAATGTACATATTATGTACATTTTTTAACAAATTTGCATAATAGCAGTAATAATTTAATTTTCTAATCAATAAATTGTTATCGTATGAATAGGAAAATTAATAAGGGTTAAATTTCTGGTAGTCAATGTTTAAAAAATATTCTTAATTTTGAACAATTGTATTTTGGAAATACTATTTTTCTAAATTCTCTTGTCAAAGATTCATTAACATTAAATATGTATTTTATGTAATTATTTTTCAATTAGATACATTTTATTTTTAAATTCTAAATTTGTCTGTTTATTTTTTAAATATTACTATTAAATTTTCAGTGTAACTCCAAGTCCAGTATCTACACCACAGTCACTTCAAGAAGTTTACAGAGGACTCGGTTCGCAAGGTTTTACTTGGATAGGTCCAAGTCAGCGGCAGTTTTGTCTTAAATCAGGATCCACGATTCACGTACCACTCCAAGCATGTTTTTCAGCTCCAGGTACTTATCTGATGGGAAATCTTCAGATATCTTCAGGACTGGAAAAACATGGTGCTAAAATATGGCAGCAATGTATGCCACCATGTCTTATAATAATTAGTGATAATAAATGAAAAAGTGAACTGTTAGAATTGTACAGTTATTTAGTTATTTACCATTCATCAAACTACCAGTTATATGGACCAAGAATTATCATCAGAAAAAGAGATTTGCATTATTTTATTCAATGCTTTAATTCTCTAATTTCATTTGATTAAAATACCTTAAATAAAATTCAAAGCTCATCTATATGTAAATTGTAATTATAGTGAAATAATGTTATATCATGGCTGCACTGGATTAAAACTGAAATGACTATTGTTTTTGCCACAAAGCATGTTTTATATAACAGTGCCAGTTGTTATATCTTTTAAAAGATTATTAAAAAAAATGAAAAAGATAATAAAGTTATATATATATATATATACTTATATATTAGGAATTGTTATTGCTATAAAATTTCCATTTAGTTAATCTTATGACTGTGTTTAAAAAGACTTTTCTAAATTTGATTTAATTTATAATAGTTTGAAGGTTTTTATATCAGTATGAAATCATTTAAGTGTTAAATTGTTTAAATGAGATTTAATGCTTTGAATATCATTGTAATATATGAATTAATTTGAGAATTGCTGTTGAATGAAGAAAAATTAATAATAATGAATATTTTTAAATAAAAATTTGCATGTGATCTTTGTAGTCTTAATATTTTTTTCATTTTTAGCTTTTTCTGCCCATGGGTGTAAGAGGTCTTTTTTCCACATCTGCTGTGGGTTTGGCCAGGTTCACAATGAGAAGGTTAGGTGGTGAAGGATGGGGTCTGATGGATCTGACAGATGCCCATGAAAAATTCTTGGAGATTTTCATCTATCTGGATTCAATCCTGGGTTCCCCAGAGCAGTAGGGTGACATCTTAACCACCTCAACCATTGGCTATCATTGATTTTTTTTATTAAAAGCACACTTTTATATGCAAATGTAAAATAATGTATTGCTTCAATAACATTACAAAAACAGAAGATTAAGAATTAATTGATAGAACTAATCTGACAAAAATGCAGCAGAATCTCTGTGGGTTCTATTAATATATAGATAAACTGACTACTCCAGAACACTGACCATCCTTTTTTGAAGTCCCATGCTGTTTTCTAATCTGATCAAAGGATATTTTTGTCCCAGTTTGCATAATTTTTATTTATTTTTTGCACATCCAGTAAACAATGAGATAGATATATAAAGGAATCATCATATCAGGGAATACATTTTGTTTGGGAGACCTTACAATGAGTTCTTCAGTGATTTCCATGTGTAGGTAAGGCTGATATAAACCTTTATTTAACACTTCTCAAATACTTTTGAAAAAAATCTGAAATGACATGTTTAAGAGTTAAAGCAGAAGCCCCTTAGCAGAATTGTCTCCAATTTGTGTTCAGAACATTACTGATTCAAGTTAAAGGCTTATAACAAACCTTATCCACACAAACATTATTGAAATCGCTCTTGCCAGTAACAAAATATGATAGAAGTTAGCATCAAAATATGTAAAAATTGTTCTTTGAGCAAGTTAAAAAACTGGGGACTGAAGAATTTGAAAAGTTGACAGAAGAACCAACAGAAAAATAACAGAAGCAGTTAAATAAAATAATAAAAGAGCAAGTTAAAAAAAGAAACATTTTAACCCATTAAATGAAAGTAATTGTCCAACAGGAAAATGTAAGAACTCCTAAGTTAAATGTTAGAATTAAAATGCATAAGCAAAATAAATGTAGACCAATTGTCAATTTTAAATATACTGTATTATATAATTTAGAGTTGTTTATAAAAGATTCTTTACAGATTATATCTAGTCACCATTTAGTATAAAAAATGCAGATGAGCTCATTACAAAATTAAATAAAGGAAAAATCATACCATAGTATAGATCAGTGTTTCTCAACCTCTAATGAATTGTGGCCCCCTGTAATGTAATATTGACCCCTTCAATAAAACCGTTGCATAGTATCGCCCCGTTCACTTCAAAATTCCGATGCTGAGGGCCAAGACTAACGCCAAACTCATACTGCATTGAATAGACTAGTGACCAGTATATGTTATTTGTTTAATTATTATACGATATAACGAATAAAATATCTAATTATTCTTAATATAATGTTTTACTATATTGCCCAGAGAATTGTTTTTCGCCCCCCCAAATATAAATTGTTACTAATCGTCCCTCAACATGTAAAAACACCCACATGGAGCGATATCGCCCCGTTGAGAAACACTGGTATAGATTAATGAGCCAGGATATATAAAAGAATTAAATTTCCATTCACTAATTGTTTCATGGTTTCTAAAGAATTCTACAAGATGGTATATCAATGGAATCTGTAATGGGGCTGAAATTTGCATGATAAACATTATCAAGAAATTGCAAACCTTAAAGGTAGTGTTTTTGGCAAGGTATGTAGATGATATCCTATTAATTTACAATAGTCATATGATTACAGCAGAAGAAATAGTAAGATATGCAAACCAGATTAATCAGATAGTTTGAAAAACCATGTAATATAAAAAAAAGTAAATTTTAAATCTTATTGTCATATTAGAAGAGAAATATTTATTTGATGGAAATATGTAAGATCTTTTCTAGAACAACTAGATCCAATAAAAGGGAGGAAGAAATTGCAAACCTTAAAGGTAGTGTTTTTGGCAAGGTATGTAGATGATATCCTATTAATTTACAATAGTCATATTATTACAGCAGAAGAAATAGTAGTAGCTACTACTAGAATTGAAACAATGTTAGGTGATACTGCTGTTGCTGTACATCCTGATGATCAAAGGTATAAACATCTCCATGGAAAATTTGTTATTCATCCATTCTGTAATCGACGAATGCCAATTGTCTGTGATAAATTTGTTGATCCAAATTTTGGCACAGGTAAATTTTATTTTGAAGAAAAGCATAGAATAATAATCAAAGAAACACAGATAATTCTCAGTTAGTGCAGTAAATGTTTGTTGAAAGTATACTATTAAGTGAAAGTACATTAAACAAAAGTTTATATCTCGTAAGAATATATGAATAATGGTCAGATGCATTCCTGAACTCCAGTCTACATATATAAGATTGCTTTGACTCTTATTATTTGTTTAAGTCATAAACTGAGATCCCATCTTATGGTTTGAGCATATCTTTGTGCAAGGGCTACTATATTGAAACCTCAGATTTCCTTTATGTGCTGAATCATTAACATCACCATACATTAAATAGTGGGTTAAATTAATTGACAATAATTATTCTAGAAGATCAAAGAAACTTTAAATAAATATTGAAGCTGATAATTCAAGAACAGTTGGGAAACTATAATACAAGGATGGTGTTAGGCTAGTTTCCATGTGGCATCTAGAAAGGCTTTTCATTGAATTGTATTATACTGAAAAAATTATGTACAGTACAAGAACTATACATAATTTGTAAATTATGTAAAAACTAAAATGCATTACTGAGGACTATCTGTATTATTAAATTTTTATAATAATATAATATTTATTTATAGGTGCTGTAAAGATTACCCCAGCTCATGACCATAATGATTATGAAGTAGGAAAAAGACATAATTTACCTTTTATTAATATACTTGATGATGGAGGAATTATCACAAACAACTGTGGACAATTTACAGTCAGTTCAACTAATTCAAAGATTTTAATTTTAGTTTTTTCAAATAAATTCCTGAATACTTCTTTTTGAAATTATATATTCTTAAATATAGGGGTTAAAGCGTTTTGAAGCAAGAAAAGCTGTGTTAAAAGCACTTGAAGATATTGGATTATATAGAGATTGCAAAGATAATCCTATGGTAGTACCCATTTGCAAGTATGTAAACAATTTTTATAATTCTTTTGAATAAGTTTTGAATATTGTATATNAATATATTTTTAATAGAAATAGAAAAAGTATTTATAAGAAAGACCAATAATGAGGATCAAGAAAAAGAATTTGAAGAAATAAAATATTTGCTTTAAAAAATGGTATGAAAAATATTTAAGAAATAGATTCAAACATACACACTGTTTTAATTCTGTTTTTATCTTTTCCATTAAATAAAAGGATTATTTGAAAAATATAATAAAATATTGAATAATTGTCAAAGTAAACTTGCTCCTCCCAAAAACAGGTTAACTAAATTAACAGCAGAGAATTCAAAGAATGATCTAGACAACCTAAAGGAGGCAAGTGTGGTGTATAGACTAACATGGCAGCTTCCACAAAAAAGTAAATTTCGCTTATAGAATCTATCCATTTGCTGCTCTGGATGCTGTAATAGCAGACAGATTAATGAATGATCCGTATATGATAAAACATGTGATTGCACGATTATGTTGGATAATTTGGTCAATATTGAAATATTAAGATTTTTTTCATTTGTCCAAAATTGATTATGACCGATATTTGGCCCTCTAAGACTTCCTAATGATATAAATATTCAAGAAATTAATTAAAATTATTAAAGAAAGACCCAGTATACAAGAAAATGATATGGGAAAATGAACAAGATATGGGTTCATTTGAATAAAAAGATTTATTCGAATAATGGTTAACTGAGTTACTTTAATTATTTAGCAAAACAGTCACAATTGCCGCCTTCTCGTTACTTAAATCATCCATCTCGAAAAGTGACCTCTGAACGAAAGAGTTTTTTTCTGCAATACATGACGTCAATTGTTCAATGGAGGAACTCAACGGAAAATTCACTGTTGAGTCAGCTGTTGAATATAGAAACGTACGGCAAGAGTGTCTAGTTCATACCCTACTTTTAGAACTTTTGAGATAAACAGTATCATTAAATTCACAAGAAAGGAAATTGAGTTACATGTCAAGCTTTATCATCTTTAAAGATAACTTTATTCCTCTTCCCCAGTTGTTTATTGAAAATCTTAAATATCCATTATAATAAAATAATGTATACAATGTTATTTAAGTCAGCAAATAACTACTGTGTATTCTTATTTATAACTGAATGTCTGTATACAATGTCAAAAGCAACATAATTAATAAATAGTTGTAAAATTCAAAACACATTGAAACTGACAATTAACAAATTCTTACTTATTAATTTTTTCAAATATATATTTGAATTAATTTTCAAATTATGTAATATTACATTTATCAGATGCATCATAAAGTAAAATAAAATTTGAGTAAACAGGATAATAGTTTGAATTTCTAATTCAAATAAAAAAATTGTTTTTTTCAGAATTTTCTCAACAATTTATAAACACACAATACTCTATTTTGCTTTTTTACTTCTTCCTCGGTTTGATGTTTTAGATTTCTTTAAAGGTAATGATGGTTGCTGCACCTGAAAAAAATTAATATTTAAATAAGATATGAAGAATATGTTCTTTTGATAATGCAACACAGATAAAATATTATAAATGTAAAATATTAGCAAAATACAGTTAATTACTTGCATTAAATGTTTTCAAATATACTGTATTAACATAACAATGACAAATGTACTAGCCACTGTGGTAACTTTGCTAAATTACTTTAGCACTCTTTTTTAAAAATCCCACTGTTAAAGGTGCATTAAGTAATTCAGTTATTGAAATAATATTCATGATACAAAAAATATTTTATACACTAGAAAAAACTAAATAGCTGCTTATAGATGTCCAATAGTAGTTTTATTTTACTGAATTATTGTCTATTTTTAAAGCTACTGAAAGAGCTACTTTAGTTACATATTTAAGCAATTTGATGTAACTGCTATCCCTAAAATGATGATATATATGTTTTATGTGATGACCAAACATTTCTAATTAGTTACTGTCAGTGTTACCTAATTCATATACACAATCTTACTTCTCATAACATAATCTGATCATCTTAATCTATACTTCCTCTGTTTTTATCACCAATATCAGTTGTACTTAGTGAAAGATGATCAAAAATCATCTATTACTTTATTAATTTAGCTAAAGATTTCATCTTTCTACCTCTTCTAATCTGTAAATCTGCATCTTTCTGCATCATCATCATCATCTAATTTTTGACTGCTGTAAATAAAAGGATCACTTTTCCAACAACAAAAATGATTGGACACACATGCATGGGATATCCCATGTGAAATCTGGCTAGTTGTCAGCTGAGTGACTTGAAATCATTCAGATGATTGAACATGCCTAAGCATAAAAGTGGGGAGTAGGATGTTTAGGGAGATAGTTTGGGAGATTTTGACAGTGTGTGCATGTACAGTACAGTTCTGAAGCTGTAATGGATCATGAATAGGAATCAGAAGACTGTTGGCAGGGAATTTGATGTTTGAGGAAATGATAAAAAATGGGAGATGCCAAGAGTAAAAAAAACTGACATCCAGCAATGCCATCAACCCACCATCAAAATCAGAGCCAATGAAGCCAGCAAACAATAACTGTATGATATTGTAAGAATTGTAACTCATTCTTTCTCCATTAATCAGTAACTGAGCTACAATGAGCTTTAATAAATAGTTTTTTCTTTTAACCTACTGACTGAGCATCATCTCTTCCATCTAGATCCAAATGATGCTACTACTCCTTCCAGAAAGATGTGCCATAAAAATTAAAGTGAGAAACCATGGAGTAGCCACCATTCAAGTCATTAATTTAATGATGGCAAATCATTAACAGATCACCAACAGACACAGGAACCTGACAGACGTCTTTTCTTTATTCCTAACATTTCAATCAATATATCATAATTGATCTAACTATTATCCTATAATATTTCTTTTTTTTTGCAATGAAAAAATTTCAATTGAACTGAAAACTTGCTAGTCCACCTTCACATTTAGAATTAGATATGAATAGATATATAATGATAATATTAATAACTTTATCTGTTTGTAAATCTTCCTTCTTACCTTGAGATTTAATTTTATCCCTTACTTTTAACATCCTACATCTATAAATTCCATAAACTGTTTTCTACCTATTGATTTTTAAACTTCTATGCTAACTTATCTTTAACCTTTACTAGCTCTTTCTATCTTCAGTAATCAAATACATATAACATACACTAATTCTTCTCTGAGTACTTTCAATGAAACCATCTGTTGCTTATATATATATATACAGTAATACCTCGACTTACGCTACCCCGACTTACGCGAACTCTGTGTTACACGATTTTCAAATCTCGTCAATTCGCTTGAGCACCATGCAACCCTTGATTACTCCCTCCCCCCACACTATTGTTCAGCTTACAAGTTCGGATGTGTCGCGCGGAATCGACACAGCTACAATTTATTTTGTGTTATTTATTTCTGTGTTTGTTATATCTACGGAGACTCGAGAGACTCTATGTGGTGATTTCTTGTAACCGTGAACGAATCAAAAGACAACATAAGATTAACGAGAACATTTATTAGCTTACATACATCCAACTTGGATTTTATACAAATTGCGAAATTATACCCCGACTTATGCGAATTCCACTTACGTGGTTATCACTCAGTCCCACCTATCGTGTAAGTTTGGGGTATCATTGTATATATAATGAATCATTTATAGTCAGTGTATTAAGTATCAGCTTTTACTCTGTTTTTGTAACACACTATCCTATTCTAGAACCCCTCTACATATTCTTCCCATACTTTTCTAACAGTATCCTATATTCATTTCCTAGGAACTAAACTAAATCTTTTCTATATCTATTTAAAATGTATATAATGATTATCTCCACCAATTGTTGAATATGCAATGGTCACCAAACACAAACATTTAAATGAAATATAAAGTTTAAATTGTATATGTTCTGAGATATAAAAAAAAAATAAATGAAAACATCCTTGTTCACTAAATAATACTTGGAGTAATTTAAGGTATTAGTTTTTATCTTGATATTCTTCCTCAGTTCCTCAGTAATTTCTTTACAAATCATGCATTAAAATTTTATTAGCTATTTTAAATTTTGCTTTGCCATGATACATTAGTTGTAAAATTGTTATTCTTGGTAAATAGTTAAATATATTTGTTTTTATACAGAAAGTTTTATATATTTTAAATTTCAAAATTTTACTATATGCATAAAATACAACTTGTTGATAATTATAATTTAATATTTATATATTAACAAACAATTTGAATTGAATTTAAAAAATCTATTTACTTTTCTTTTAACAGGACTTGATGGAACTACTTTAAAGAAAGAGTCCAATCGACCTTGTGTACTTCCATGACGACCTTTCATTAATTTTTTTGTTCCATTTTTTACTCTATCTTCACTGAAATGTAAATTACAATAAACAATGCATCATATTATAAGTAATTTAATTAAGATTATATTTAATTACTGTATTCACTCAAATATAAGATGCCATTCAATCTAAGAAAAACCTTAATTTCTACACACTCATCCACAGATTTTTTTTCAACTGATTCTGTTGACAAATCTGCTCAGTATTTAGTGATTGTAAGTTACATATCACTGTCTTCTGCAGTATCAAAGTCAGAAACCTCTTCAATTTTCATGTTAGGTTCTGAATCAACACTGGATTTGATGTATACATCCTTCCACATAAAATCCACATTGCTGTTTAAAGCATTAGAAATGGAACATTTCTTGAAAGAGTTATGCACAACTTTCCTCTGGGATTTTCATCCAGTATTTACAATGTTACTGTAATAGACTAATGAGATTGAGCTAAACTGACTTCTTATAATATTTGTAATAGTAAATATTTAAGACAAAAATAAGACCTGTCAATAATTATGCCAATGAATCTAAGACCTATCTTAATTTTCAGAGATATTAAAATTCGAAAAAAGTGCATCTTACATTTGAATAAATATATTTTAAAATAAAAAATTATCAACAAATATTAAATCATGCACCTATTCCAATTTTACTAAATGTAAAATTCAGCTAATCAAACAATAATATATGAGTAACTACACTGGTGTGCAAAACTTAAGCAACAATATAATTTTTAAGCAGACAGCTATGAAATTGTAGAAAAGAGCTTGTTGCGACAGTACAATGAGCACACAATTCAGTAGAAAGGCGATTCGTATGCAGGAAGATGACATCACAGGTGATGTGAGGGTATGCAAAATGTGTGCAATCAGCATGCACAGTGCAAGACTGCAATAAGAAGGTGGCTTTGATTCCATACTGTATGTATGCGTTCTATTCATTTTTGCACTAGTATCCTTTCTCCATCCTTTAAGTACAAAATACTGTCTCTATATTCTGGATTTCATGACTCTCAGCTGATTTCTTGCAGAGTTACAGAAAAAAACAATTGTTGCTTAAGTTTTGCACACCAGTTTCAGAAATTGAAAGGAAACGTGAATTCATTTGTAGTTACTCAAAATTATAATAAATTTCTGGAAATATTTTATGATTACTGAAATCAGAACCAAACAATTTCAAATGAAAGTATCAGGCTATTAGCCCAATACTTTACGTCAATTATTTTGTTCCGATTAATATCATCAGGTTGTGAGATGTTTATAACTTATATGATTACATGAAAATTTAGGCTTCAGATATGTAAAATATAGAGTTTGAAAAACTATTATTATATAAGCCTTTTCAACAAAATCTGATATTAGAAAAGATTTATTACACCACCACTCAGATATTAATTCTTTGAAAATGAATCTCGTATACTGTGCAACCTCGCTTAACGAGCATAATTCATTCCAGCATAATGCAAAACACTCGTTAAGTGAAACAATTTTTCTCGTATTATTGTACATTTTACATACGTGTTTCATGTTGAAAAAATATTTGAGTATTTTATGTATAACGTTTATTCAAAGAAAATTATACAATATACATTGTTAAGGAGTCATCATCATCTTTTCTTCTATAACAGAATGAACCAACCTGAAATGCAAATTCAATTTGCAGGGGGAAAAAAAAAATCACAGATAATATGTCTGATAAACATGCCAAGCAATATGCCAAATTCTTGGGCTATGTAAAGGCTATAATTAAATATTAGAAATTAATTAATTTGACTACAGGTCAGATTGAGATGTCAAATTTAATATGAGATGGCAGCATAACTGCCATCTCATATTAAATTTAATGACCAATTCTAAATTAGCCCAAGAATTTGACATATCGTTTGGTGTGTTTATTATATAACAAGCTACGGTTGTTGATGTTTATATATAATGTGTGTGAACACAAGTTTGGAAAAATGTGTGATCACAAGCAACACTAAAATGCTAGCAGAACAAGTGCTAAACGTAGACTAATAGAGCATGTGCACAATCCAGGACTTCTCCTCTCCTTGTCACTCGTTAAGTGAGTCAATTTTTTACAGTTTGTTTTGCTCATTGTGCAAAGTGCTCGTTAAGTGAGGTTCCACTGTACAGTGCTCTGCCCTTTCAGTTAATCTGGCAAATTGACATTCAAAATAAGGATTCTTATAAACTGTTTTGTTCCCCTATTTCCAGTTATAAAAATAATAATGCACAAACAAAAATCAGAAATACTTTCCATCTCTGTAGCATAGAAAGAATTCAGAAATTGAATTTTAAAATATTTTAGCTTCTGTTGTTATAATCAGAAACAGGAAGTTAATAACCAATATAAAACAAGGATCTACAGATTAGTATAGCATATATAATAAAACTAAATTTCAATTGCTTACAAGGAAATATGAATGTGCTGCTATATTAGAAAGCTTTTTGATTATCTATCGATATTTCACTTTCAAAAAGATTTATGATTTCTAACCTTTTGTGCATCTATCATTATGCATAAAAAAAGTGTATTATATAACTTGCAAAGAATATATCCAGTTCTCAACTTACAACCAGTGGTGATATTCAGTGGGTTCGTACAGGTTTGGCTGAACCCATTGTTAACATTTTCAAAGTTTTCTGAACCTTGTTAAACACACGAAACATTTCTCAGTGGTTTTGTTTCTTTTAAAAAATATATTAAAATATATGTATTATGCTCTGTAACACTACTAAACTAGAGCCTTATACCCCGTTCACCTTGGTGCGACCTCACTCAAATGTTTCAATCTCGACTGAAATCAGGCTCAATCGCGATTGACTCGAGAGTTCTTGAAACTAGATCCAGTCATAAGAGAGATCCCACAATCCCACGCGCGCGAGAAAGTACAAGATGGCTGTGGAACACGTGTCGGGCTATCTACAGCAAAATAAAAAAGATATTGTATTTCAAGAGACGATGACATCTGTCTATTATTAGATATATCGCAAGAAAAAGTATTGTATTTATTTCTAACCAAAACTTCCATTTTATTTGTCGGTGTTCATGACTCTTATCATAATTTCTAGTAGTTATGTTAGTTTATCATTGCGTGTAATATCCAAGTTCTTCTCAAGTTGACTGTGCACAGGCAGTCAGTCAACTTGAGAAAAAAATTGTTAAGGAAAAATTTTCTGTTAGAGAACCCTTTGTTAAATATTTTGAATATCACCACTACTTAAAACCACCTGTACTTATGATGGCCAAAACTAGCACAACAAAAAAATTATTTTAAGTGCAAACAACTTACTAATGACATAGTACCATTTATTAAATGTTAAATGTAGTGTATACTGTAGTGGACAACAAACTGTATATAAAAAGTAGTATATTCATTTTTACTATCGCTCAGATTTACATCACTTTAAAAACTGAATTAAAAAATAAAAAAAAAAGAACCAACTGCAGAACTACTTAGCCTGAAAAAAAAATTATTCCATACAAAGATTACAATACTCTCTCAATATTTTTGGTTTCATTGAAAATGGTTGATTACTTGTGTTTCAACTAATCTTTAAGTAATAATACCAATTAATCAAAATATTAACATTAGCTTGAAGTTCAGTATGCCTAAACACTATTTGAAAGAAAATGATTTCACTAAATAATAATAGTTTTCCTTATGATTTTTTAAAGCAATTTTCTTCCTTTTTCAATAAACTTCACAGATATCCACCGATTTGTACATGCACTGTGCACTGGCTGTATAAAACTTCTAATGTTCATAACTTCTGATAGGTACTGTACATCTTTTGAAAAATGTTTTAGATAAAAATTTGTTTGTTTTTGATACCAAATCATGATATAAAATGAAAGATAGCAATTTCTATTTATGAAAATGAAGATGACCCTATTTTCACCAATTGTAGAACCATCTATAATGGAAACAATAGCCCCATCTTATACTTCAAAGGGTCACAACATTTTTGGTTTAACGAATTTTTTGTAGAATGTGTATCTTTTGAGTTATTCCAGTGGACTGATTAAAATGGACCACATGTATAAGCTTATGCATGATGTTTGGAACTATACTCAATTATCACCATTATAATTACAGTGGTACCTCAGGATATGAACACCCCAGCATATGAAATTTTCAGGATGACATGAAATTCGAACATATTTTTGCTCCACAATACAAACAAAAACTCACCATACGATGTTACATTAGTTCTCAGCGCCATTTTTTATTCACTTCTGTTCATTGGTCTCAGTCCGCGTGTTTGCTTCGTCATGGAAGGATCTTGCTCGATAAAGGAAATCTTGAAATATTATCAGAAAGTGACTGATTTTATTGAAAAGAAACATCCTGAAAAGGTTCACACTGGCCGTATTGCTGCTTGAAGTAATGACATTTGCCTAAGTCATTTTAGAAACATTTTAAAAAGTAGGCAAAACCAAACCTCTTTGGATAGATATTTTACCAAGCAACCTCTTTCCAGTGAAAGTGCTGGATGGAAGTGAAGGAAAGAAAGCAAAAAGCAGTGAATAAAAATTAAAAAAAGAAAATATAAAAACCACTAATTTTTTAAATCTTTTCTAGGCTATTTTTAAGTTATTGTTACGTTATGTTATGTAAGTTAAGTTTTAGTACCATTTCCCTTCTCCCTCTCTTCCGCCACCAGTTTATACCTCCACCGTCATCTATCCTCAAAGGTAAAGTGCAAATAAAACTACATTTTTTTTAATCAATTATTATTCTATTATGGTTATTTACAACTACAAAATGCATTTTTCAGTGTTTTCCTTACTAAAGTTTTTTTTTCCAATATACTATCAATACTTAGCTTTAATTTGAGTGTGTTTTTTGTGCTGGAATGGATTATTTGGTTTTACATGGAATCATATGGGAAAAAATGATTCACCTTATGGCATTTTCATGATACGATATCAGTTTCAGAATGGATTAATTTCATATCCTGAGGTACTACTGTATACGAAAAATGATGGAGAAGATACATCAAGCAAGATATATGTAAATATATATGAATAGAACAGTGAAAAAACTGTTTGAAGATCAGAAACAAATATTTTATATTTATTTTCTTGAATATATGTAAGCAGAAATGCCAACTATGGATTTAGAATATTTGACTTGAACCTTTTCTGTGTGCTATTCTCTTCTCAGATGTTAAATAAGAATCTTTAGTGTTTTTTTTTTAATGAAATTTGGCACAGAATGAAACTGTCCTACTATGTTCTTTATATGTCTTACTAATTTGCAAATTTAAAAATATGATTTGTAGAAAGTTTACTTAGGCAGTACCTTTGGATCTTTGGCAGTTAGGTTATCATAGGATATAGAAATAAATATCAGGTCAGTCCATAAGTTCGTGCGTATTTTATGATCTTGAGAAAAATCTTGTTTTGCTGTTAAAAATGTCAGTCTAATGTGATACTTTTTACACTGAAGTGTTAAATTGGATCTCATTCATATAATACTGTTCAGAATTGGGAACATTTCAGTTGTTTATTTTCGTTAAAATGGAAGTAACAGATGAATATAAGAGACATGTTTTATACTTTTTATTTTTAAGTGATGAGAATGCTACAAATGCAGCCAAAAAATTAAATACTGTTCATAATCAAACTGTAATTAGTGTAAGGACTGCGCAGAAGTGGTTTGAAAGATTTAGAAATAATGATTTTAGTGTGGAGGATAAGGCTCGTACTGGAAGACCCGTTGACTTTGATGATGATGCTCTCTCTGCACTAGTTGAAGCAGAACCATCTTTAACAGTTGATGAAATTGCGGAACGTTTAAATTCATCCCATGGAACTGTTCATAGACATCTACAACAAATCGGAAAAGTTTCAAAGCTAGGAAAATGGATACCACATGAACTGTCAATAGCTAACTGACAACAACGTCAACTGCTCAACTCAAAAGCTTCAACTGGGAAATTTTACCTCATCCACCATATTTGCCAGATATTGCTCCCAGTGATTATCATCTTTTTCGGAGTTTGCAGAATTTTTTAAAAGGAAAAACTTTTGAGGATGAGAACAATGTAAAAAAGGCTATTTCTGAATATTTTGATTCAAAACCGAAATCATTTTACAAAGACGGGATTAAAAAGCTACCATCAAGATGGCAAGAAATTGTACAAAATAATGGTGAATACATTATAGATTGAAATAAAATTTAATTAAAATTTTTTGTTGCTTTTTTTGTAGATAAAAATGTGCACGAACTTATGGACTGACCTGATAGAAACACTATTGTACTAGCAGAATATGCATTGTATGAAAATTTGGAAATTGACTAGAAGCAACAATCAATGGTATGCTTGGCACAACCAGCTCTCTGTTTCAGAACTTTTCACAGCAACTAGTAAAAATAAATTTTAATTAATAAAAAAGTCAGAAGAAGCATTGAGCCCATAGATATGAACACACTGCTGAAACAATATTTATTTAATTTATAATATTCTTTTACTTTATATGTCTCAAGTTTCAAAAAAGTCTATTCAAATTTTTTGTGGAACTGGCATGAAGCCAAGAAATTTTAAAGATTCAAAAGTTAAACTGATTAATTCAAAGTTTTTAATTCATTTTTAGATCTAAAGATAAGCTAAAAAAGCATGAAAACATGAAATTCTATGAAAAAGACTTCTATAAACTAAAAAGGCTATGAAATATATATATGTATAATATAATGAGAAATTCTTCAACAAAAACAAAAAATAACATTAAGTTAAAAAAAACACTTAAATAATTCAGTGAAACCTAGCAAAAATCCAAGTAAAAGATCACAAGATTTAAAATTGTATTAAAATTTTTATGTATTTTTCAGCACATCATTTATTGTAATCTATGAAATAATTATTTTAAGTATAAATTATTTCTTTTCTTTTAGTTTCAAATAATACATATATTATATATAGATATGTTATATATACCTAAATCCTTTATCACCACATAAGAATTTGACTAAACCTTCTTCATCAGGATCAGTCCATTTCAGCTAAAATAAAAAGTTTTAAATTTATAAAATTCTACACGTTAAAGTTGTATACTTTTTAATGTCAACAATATAGAATTACAAATTGTTTAACTATTGATATAAGATACATTAATATTGTTAAACAATAAATATTCAGAATAAATATTTACCTAAAATATTTCACAATAATAATAATAATATATTTAAAATTTTACTTGTTGAAATACTAAAATAATTGAATAAAAATTTCCAAAATAAATTTAAAATGATTATAATGTTTAAATAAATATCATCATCATCCACAATAAATAAAAGTGCAAGAAAAATATATTTTCATTTTTATTTGTTAATTCCTAGAAACACAAGCTATATGGCCCATCACAGTCTAGCCTACTACAGATGGGCCTGACCTGCAATAGGAATTGTTCAGATGAGTGAGATATAGAGGAACAATACCTCTGATCTGTACCCATTCCAGATTTTGAGTGCCTGAATTGATTTGAACTCCAATTATTCACAGCAGACTGATATTTTGTCATATTGGCTATGGTTACCTTTGCGTTCTAATTGAACATGTACTGTACATTGGAGTATGTACAATTTATTATTATTATTATTATTTATTATTTTACATTACAATAAAATCTTTAAAAAAATCAATTTTGTGTTGTTTAAAGTTTTTAAAAAGTCATCTCAGGAACTGGTACTCTCTCTTTCTCTCATCATATTGTATATTTTGATTGAGTCTTATACTTTAAATTTTTTAACAGCTGCCATTTCTCCACTAATTGTACTTTAATCCTTTGATGAGTGGGTTTACATAAGAATGCATTGTCAGAATATAAAAAAATATATTATATTTCCTTATATTTTAAATTAACATTAGTACAGTGGGTGATCGGTTAATGAACAGATCGGATAACGAACACTTTCGCAAAAGATTTTTATGTTCGGACAACGAACACATGATCGGATANTGGTAAATAGTTAAATATATTTGTTTTTATACAGAAAGTTTTATATATTTTAAATTTCAAAATTTTACTATATGCATAAAATACAACTTGTTGATAATTATAATTTAATATTTATATATTAACAAACAATTTGAATTGAATTTAAAAAATCTATTTACTTTTCTTTTAACAGGACTTGATGGAACTACTTTAAAGAAAGAGTCCAATCGACCTTGTGTACTTCCATGACGACCTTTCATTAATTTTTTTGTTCCATTTTTTACTCTATCTTCACTGAAATGTAAATTACAATAAACAATGCATCATATTATAAGTAATTTAATTAAGATTATATTTAATTACTGTATTCACTCAAATATAAGATGCCATTCAATCTAAGAAAAACCTTAATTTCTACACACTCATCCACAGATTTTTTTTCAACTGATTCTGTTGACAAATCTGCTCAGTATTTAGTGATTGTAAGTTACATATCACTGTCTTCTGCAGTATCAAAGTCAGAAACCTCTTCAATTTTCATGTTAGGTTCTGAATCAACACTGGATTTGATGTATACATCCTTCCACATAAAATCCACATTGCTGTTTAAAGCATTAGAAATGGAACATTTCTTGAAAGAGTTATGCACAACTTTCCTCTGGGATTTTCATCCAGTATTTACAATGTTACTGTAATAGACTAATGAGATTGAGCTAAACTGACTTCTTATAATATTTGTAATAGTAAATATTTAAGACAAAAATAAGACCTGTCAATAATTATGCCAATGAATCTAAGACCTATCTTAATTTTCAGAGATATTAAAATTCGAAAAAAGTGCATCTTACATTTGAATAAATATATTTTAAAATAAAAAATTATCAACAAATATTAAATCATGCACCTATTCCAATTTTACTAAATGTAAAATTCAGCTGATCAAACAATAATATATGAGTAACTACACTGGTGTGCAAAACTTAAGCAACAATATAATTTTTAAGCAGACAGCTATGAAATTGTAGAAAAGAGCTTGTTGCGACAGTACAATGAGCACACAATTCAGTAGAAAGGCGATTCGTATGCAGGAAGATGACATCACAGGTGATGTGAGGGTATGCAAAATGTGTGCAATCAGCATGCACAGTGCAAGACTGCAATAAGAAGGTGGCTTTGATTCCATACTGTATGTATGCGTTCTATTCATTTTTGCACTAGTATCCTTTCTCCATCCTTTAAGTACAAAATACTGTCTCTATATTCTGGATTTCATGACTCTCAGCTGATTTCTTGCAGAGTTACAGAAAAAAACAATTGTTGCTTAAGTTTTGCACACCAGTTTCAGAAATTGAAAGGAAACGTGAATTCGTTTGTAGTTACTCAAAATTATAATAAATTTCTGGAAATATTTTATGATTACTGAAATCAGAACCAAACAATTTCAAATGAAAGTATCAGGCTATTAGCCCAATACTTTACGTCAATTATTTTGTTCCGATTAATATCATCAGGTTGTGAGATGTTTATAACTTATATGATTACATGAAAATTTAGGCTTCAGATATGTAAAATATAGAGTTTGAAAAACTATTATTATATAAGCCTTTTCAACAAAATCTGATATTAGAAAAGATTTATTACACCACCACTCAGATATTAATTCTTTGAAAATGAATCTCGTATACTGTGCAACCTCGCTTAACGAGCATAATTCATTCCAGCATAATGCAAAACACTCGTTAAGTGAAACAATTTTTCTCGTATTATTGTAAATTTTACATACGTGTTTCATGTTGAAAAAATATTTGAGTATTTTATGTATAACGTTTATTCAAAGAAAATTATACAATATACATTGTTAAGGAGTCATCATCATCTTTTCTTCTATAACAGAATGAACCAACCTGAAATGCAAATTCAATTTGCAGGGGGAAAAAAAAAATCACAGATAATATGTCTGATAAACATGCCAAACAATATGCCAAATTCTTGGGCTATGTAAAGGCTATAATTAAATATTAGAAATTAATTAATTTGACTACAGGTCAGATTGAGATGTCAAATTTAATATGAGATGGCAGCATAACTGCCATCTCATATTAAATTTAATGACCAATTCTAAATTAGCCCAAGAATTTGACATATCGTTTGGTGTGTTTATTATATAACAAGCTACGGTTGTTGATGTTTATATATAATGTGTGTGAACACAAGTTTGGAAAAATGTGTGATCACAAGCAACACTAAAATGCTAGCAGAACAAGTGCTAAACGTAGACTAATAGAGCATGTGCACAATCCAGGACTTCTCCTCTCCTTGTCACTCGTTAAGTGAGTCAATTTTTTACAGTTTGTTTTGCTCATTGTGCAAAGTGCTCGTTAAGTGAGGTTCCACTGTACAGTGCTCTGCCCTTTCAGTTAATCTGGCAAATTGACATTCAAAATAAGGATTCTTATAAACTGTTTTGTTCCCCTATTTCCAGTTATAAAAATAATAATGCACAAACAAAAATCAGAAATACTTTCCATCTCTGTAGCATAGAAAGAATTCAGAAATTGAATTTTAAAATATTTTAGCTTCTGTTGTTATAATCAGAAACAGGAAGTTAATAACCAATATAAAACAAGGATCTACAGATTAGTATAGCATATATAATAAAACTAAATTTCAATTGCTTACAAGGAAATATGAATGTGCTGCTATATTAGAAAGCTTTTTGATTATCTATCGATATTTCACTTTCAAAAAGATTTATGATTTCTAACCTTTTGTGCATCTATCATTATGCATAAAAAAAGTGTATTATATAACTTGCAAAGAATATATCCAGTTCTCAACTTACAACCAGTGGTGGTATTCAGTGGGTTCGTACAGGTTTGGCTGAACCCATTGTTAACATTTTCAAAGTTTTCTGAACCTTGTTAAACACACGAAACATTTCTCAGTGGTTTTGTTTCTTTTAAAAAATATATTAAAATATATGTATTATGCTCTGTAACACTACTAAACTAGAGCCTTATACCCCGTTCACCTTGGTGCGACCTCACTCAAATGTTTCAATCTCGACTGAAATCAGGCTCAATCGCGATTGACTCGAGAGTTCTTGAAACTAGATCCAGTCATAAGAGAGATCCCACAATCCCACGCGCGCGAGAAAGTACAAGATGGCTGTGGAACACGTGTCGGGCTATCTACAGCAAAATAAAAAAGATATTGTATTTCAAGAGACGATGACATCTGTCTATTATTAGATATATCGCAAGAAAAAGTATTGTATTTATTTCTAACCAAAACTTCCATTTTATTTGTCGGTGTTCATGACTCTTATCATAATTTCTAGTAGTTATGTTAGTTTATCATTGCGTGTAATATCCAAGTTCTTCTCAAGTTGACTGTGCACAGGCAGTCAGTCAACTTGAGAAAAAAATTGTTAAGGAAAAATTTTCTGTTAGAGAACCCTTTGTTAAATATTTTGAATATCACCACTACTTAAAACCACCTGTACTTATGATGGCCAAAACTAGCACAACAAAAAAATTATTTTAAGTGCAAACAACTTACTAATGACATAGTACCATTTATTAAATGTTAAATGTAGTGTATACTGTAGTGGACAACAAACTGTATATAAAAAGTAGTATATTCATTTTTACTATCGCTCAGATTTACATCACTTTAAAAACTGAATTAAAAAATAAAAAAAAAGAACCAACTGCAGAACTACTTAGCCTGAAAAAAAAATTATTCCATACAAAGATTACAATACTCTCTCAATATTTTTGGTTTCATTGAAAATGGTTGATTACTTGTGTTTCAACTAATCTTTAAGTAATAATACCAATTAATCAAAATATTAACATTAGCTTGAAGTTCAGTATGCCTAAACACTATTTGAAAGAAAATGATTTCACTAAATAATAATAGTTTTCCTTATGATTTTTTAAAGCAATTTTCTTCCTTTTTCAATAAACTTCACAGATATCCACCGATTTGTACATGCACTGTGCACTGGCTGTATAAAACTTCTAATGTTCATAACTTCTGATAGGTACTGTACATCTTTTG